TGAGTGGAAATGAAGGTAGAGATAGCCGGTACATCTGTTGTTGGTGGTTTCAAGAGGGATGATGGGACAATGGGATGATGACCGTGGTTTAGGAAAAAGGGGGAAAACCCTGTGGAGGGGTTGACGGAGTTGTTGTATGCAAATTCCATCATTGGTAAGAGCAAGTCCCAGTCATTCTGTTTGTACGAGACATAAGATCGTAGCATTTCCTCCAGGGTCCTGTTGGCTCGCTCCGTCTGTCCGTCTGTCTGAGGATGGAATGCTGTAGACATATGGAGTTTAGTTCCCATGAGCTTCATCAATGTGGTCCAGAAGTGTCCCGTGAATCTTGAGTCTCTGTCCGATACAATAGCTCGTGGCATGCCATGGAGTCGGAAGACATTATTGAAGAAGAGTCGCGCGATATCTGAAGCAGTGTCCGTTGTATGGCTAGGGCAGAAGTGGACTTGTTTGGATAACTTGTCTACGAATACAGTTATGGCATTGAACCCTCGGTTCGTCTTGGGTAAAGGGCCAATGAAGTCCATGGTAACAGTTTCCCATCGTTCAAGAGGTACAGTGGTCATCAAAAGTCATTCAATGAATTAGGAATTTCGACATTCTCATTCCTTTCTCCAATTTGATCTTGCTTGTCACTAATGAAACTTACGTAGCGAGTTCGACCATCGACAATGTCACTCCTACTACAATGTCAATGAGCTCCTGTTGCTAATTGAAAATTTAGATGAATGCCGATTATTGGCATCTCATTGAATGACATTTGAAGAAAATCAGGAGCTTTGCTTTATTTGTTTTTTTTTCTGTTCTTCAGTAATGTGTACGACCTCCTTTCTTGCGATGTAGCTCCTCTACCCTTCGTGGCATACTTTCATATAGCTCATCAAGGAAGTCAGGTGGAATAGATGTCCAGATATCCTGTAGTCTTTCCCATAGTTCATCCAGATCCTTTGGTACCTTCTCATATCCCTTGAGCCGATGATCCATGTAGGCCCATACATTCTCGATAGGGTTGAGGTCAGGAAAATTTGGAGGCTACTCCAAAGTGGTAATGTGTGACTTAATAAAGAACTCTTTAACCATCCTACTCGAATGAACACTTGCATTGTCCTGCTGAAAAATTGACTTTTCAGGGTCCTGGCCATACCACTTCCATGAGCCGAGGACATAATCTTGTAGAACATCAACATATAAAGAGGAATCAACCGTGACAGGGATCCTGCAACCATCGCCTACACCATGATAAGTGATACAGCCCCACCACATAAGTTTGTTATGTGCTCCCCTTGATCTCTCTCCAGTGCTCCTAATCGGTACATTCGATTCAATACACCTTCGAACCGAAATCGAATTGACCAAGGTAAGGTTCATATCGAATCGAAACCGAATGAATATATATTGTCGAAACCGAATCGAATGTGTCGAATATTCGATGCATTCGGTAAACCGAATCATTCGGTGCCTCGATTGTACCGATTCAATTCATTTGATATACCGAGTCATTCGGTACATTGATAAACCGATTAAAATTTTTATAAATTTTTTCTCACGGCACTCTTAATCAAAATGTGGATTTTAATCGTGGATTAAGAAAAATATTACCATGAAGATAAGGTTAAAACACATGTTTATAGAAAATAAAGCCTAACAACGAGTGCGAGATATCTGGTGCGTTATACTTAAATACTCAACTGCGGCATCAGGACAACAAATGTGTTTGCATTCGCTTCAGTTCGCCTCATTTCCTTTCCTTTTCCTTTTTTTTTTTTTTTTTCTCTCTTTTCCGCTCCATATTTTGCTTAGCCAGTTTAATGATATCACAGCGACGGTGTCTTCTAGCCTGGGATACCCGACAATCAACAGAGCCATGTCTGCTTACAACAACATGATCGACCACCTAGAAGATTATATTGAAAAAGAAGAGGATCCTCCACTAAAAAACGCAGCAGGTCAAGGGTTAAAGAAGCTTTTGCGTTATTATTCTAAAACTGATTCCTCAGCGGTCTATGCCGTCGCCACTGCTATGGACCCGAGGATGCGGTTTGACTGGTGGGAAGCTAACGAATGGGGTGAATATATTCAAAGCAGCCAAGACATGGTAACGAAGGTCTGGGAAGATGAATATAAGGGCAAAGAAGAAATGGAGATGAGACGCTATGGTATCAAGAAAAAAGGTGGAGAGCTTGAATTATACGTTCGAGAAGGAAGTTCTCTAGTTGCTAGTAAACATGAGCCTCCAGAGTTAGTGTACTGGCGATCACAAAAGGAGCGCTTGCCCAATTTGGCGAATATGGCAAAGGACTATCTTGCAGTCCCTGTGACATCAACCCCGGCAGAAAGATGCTTTTCGCAAGCCAAGTTCTTCCTGCCACCTGAAAGAAATAGCCTTAGCCCTACGACGATCCAGCGCTTGGTCATCCTGGACTCTTGGATGAAATTCTCCCATAAATTAGTTGCTATAGTTCTGTATACATTCGTTATAAGTGATAAGTCAAAATTTAAATATATTTCCAACATTTGAACGTTAGTTGAATGTACCGTGGCGCATCAAATTGTGTAAGCCCATTCTAACCTGTCAAGTTTTTTATTCAAAAAGCCGATATATGGTGCGTGCCAAAACTGATGCAATAATTTGCATTTTTTAACATTCATTCCTCATTCTCCTTTTCCTTTCTAATGATCTTCCCTACCATCACCGCTTCTCATTCTCATTTGTCTCACCTTCGTAGACTGTCATCGCTGTTCTCATCAATGACGCAATTAGCGAATAATCGCCATTTGTATAGTCATGTCTCATTGCATCAGTTTTGGTAAAAAGTACATGTCAGGTTTGTCCATCCCTTACTTCTTTCTTATTCTTTATTCTTTCTTTATAGCACCATCACCACTGATACACCAAGCGACACTCTACATATCTGCCATATCTTTATCATAACATGAAATCATTATCCAAATCAACTATCCAAAATGCAACTGCTCTACTTCATCAGGGAAAGTCTTCCAGAGAAGTGTCAAAGAGTTTAGGGATATCTGTTACCTCAGCTCAAAGGATTAGGAAAAGAGGCAAAGAAAGTATTCCAGTGCTGAGAGGGGGCCGACCCTGCAAAGTTACTAAGAAAACGAAACAGCTTTTATCAAGATTTTTTGACATGGGTGTATTGGAGACCCTAAAAGATGGCCAACAACTTGTTCAATTGAGGGAAGGAGTGCAGGTTAGTAAATCGAGCATCAGGAGGTTCCTTATGCAGGATGATATGGGGGCATATGTAAAACAGAAGCAGCCTGATCTGACGAAGAAGCAAATCTATGCTCGATATAATTTTGCAAAGGATCACTTGGACTGGACTCTAGAAGACTGGAAGAACGTCATGTTCTCAGATGAGACCATCTTTAGCAGAGTTGGGTCCTGCGGAAGAAAGTACTACTACAAGCATCGATGGGATAAAACTCTACGAGCACATCATATCAAAAAGACAAGGCAAGGTGGCGGAGGGAAAATGATGTTCTGGGGTTGTATAACTTACTACGGACCAGGCGATGGCTGCTGGCTCCAAGAGAAGGTGGATTCGGTAACATACGTCGACGTTCTCAAGGATTATATCTTTAAGTCCAGGGATTACTACTTGATGGATAAGGACAAATTTATATTTCAGCAGGACAATGCTAGGATTCATACCGGAAGAATAGCAATGACCTATATCCAAAAGTCTAAGATACCTCTCATGGAATGGCCAGCAAACTCTCCTGACATCAACCCAATAGAAAACATATGGGTATACATGAAGGTGCAGTTGGATCATTATCCAGACAAGGCAAAGAATATGGAGGATCTCTGGGAGAGAGTCCAAGACGTATGGACACATATCCCTCCTGAATTCTTACACAAACTATACTGCGGTATGCCGAAGAGGATGAGGGAGTTATATAAGGCTAAAGGAGGGAACATCGTTAGGGGAAAGGAGAAGTAACAGGAATAAATAAAAACAAGAAGTTGTTAATTGCCATAATAGATGCAATGAGATGCTGAAAGCAAATTGCAATTAAATGCTAATTAGGCCACTGATGGCGATGACGATGAGACTCCATGGAGGTGAGACAAATGAGAATGAGAAACGGTGGTGGCAGGGAAGATCATAAAGAGGAAGAAGGAGAATGAGGAATGAATGTTGAAAAATGCAATTTATTGCATCAGTTTTGGCACGCACTATAGATGAACGGCACTGTATGAGTGTTGTATGCATACACGGTTTCTAGGAATGAAAAAAAAAAAAAAAAAAAAAAAAAAAAATGTACATGGGAATGAATCATTGATTCGGTTTTGCATGTTAGTGTATCCCTTATCAATAATTTGTGGCTTGCACATGCCACAGGAATGTCATACTTAATCATTGGTGTCCGATCATACTGCAAAGCTAGGCTCGTCACCAGCCTGAGGACGAAATTCAAGTGCACATGCACGTGCTGAAAGGCAAATGTGGCTTGCTCTTACAGACTCTCTCTCAGGCCGGGGACCGTGTGAAGCACGCTACTGTTTTTCTTGCTCTCATTTCACAGTCTCATTTATTCATCCGATTATCACTACGAAATTTACCTCTCATCATTCTCATCTTTAAAAAAATATAGAGAAATTAAAAGAAATAAATAAAAAAGAAAAAAAAAGTTATTCCCTGTGGTTAAAATGACAGAAAAAAAAAAAAAAAGAGCCTTTTCCAGCGGTGTGTTTGACTTGGAAATTTTTTCAAATTTAAAAAAGAGGCCTCCAGCCAAAATGTCAAGTTTGGTCCTGAGAGAGAGTCTGTAAGAGCAAGCCACATTTGCCTTTCAGCACGTGCATGTGCACTTGAACTTCGTCCTCAGGCTGGTGACGAGCCTACTGCAAAGCCATTCGACCGCATTGGGGCCTACAACAAACCTGCTTTCACTGTTATTGTGGTAGCCTCCTCAAAGTAGGGAACATGACAGAAAACGCGACAAAAGAATTCAGGTCTTCGTATGGCGTGTTCTCAATATTGCCTAAGGTTAGGCTCCATAATGACAGGTACTTGACGGCCTTCAGGCATGATACCCTCAAGTAGCGGAACCTTAGCAGCTAGCTGCTCTTGAAGTAATCTTCTCTCTTCCTCCCCATCGCATGCCGGTACGAAGCCTGGAGGAACATCCTTAGTACACAAGAAACTCATAAAAAAAAAATAGAATAGAGAGTTAGAAAGTAGAGAGTAGAGAAGTAAAAGGAAATAAGCACCACAGCTCAATTCTACTTGCAGATTGAACAACGGGAATATCCTGGCCTGACATACATATTTTCTTCCAATTGGTCATATGCATCCATATCATCGAAATCCAGTTAAGGTAGCTCCTCCTCATATTCACTATCATTGCAAAATATAGAAAAAATAGAGAAATAGAAAAAATAAGAAAAAACAAGAAAAAAAATAAAAAAATAAAAAAAAATAAAAATAAGCTCGCCGTTGAGCTAGCTCCTGGTCGTTAATAAAAAAGATACTCACTTCACAACGTTCGCCGAACTCCAGTCATGCCAAAGCTCACTTGATTGATAATGTTGCAGAAAGTAAAGGCGTTAATGTTTTGTTTTAATTCCAAGAAACAAAATTGCTGATACTGGAGTTACTTACTCGCTAACATTATCAAAATTCCAACCGAAGGACCCTCTTAGTAAAGTAGGCAACAAAATAAAGCGGGTGCACAACAAAACATAAAGGATACAATAAATAAATAAATTATTGAGTGCAATGCATCACTGTCAACAAGATTACAAAGGTAGTGCCATACTCAGGGCGAGCTTCTTGCCAAAGGCCAGACGAATCCCTTTCATCGCCAGAACCAAACAAAACATGGTCCGCTTCTCCAGACCAAGGGGCATATCTGACGAAGGAAGTCCAGAGCGAGGTGACAATGGAAAATCATACGTGACAATGTTACAAGATGTGTTTTCAAAGGGAAAGAGATGAGTAAAGAAGCGAAGGATTTTCAAGAAAGAAAATTAAATGCGTAATGAAACAATATGTGATTTCAAAGATAGAGATGTGTAAAGGAAGAAGATTTTTTAAAAAAGTCTTTGAGTGTGGTTTCCCTCTATTGTGGCAAAAGTTTTTATCGACTAATTGAGAACCACTGATGCTTTTGCAAGTGTCCAATTTCACTGATCAGGCCAGTGATGTCAATGAGACGACAAAAAATAAAAAAAAAACTGTAAGCTTATTCATCTCAAAGCGCTTGATTGGCAAATGTTCAGTAATGAAGGTACTAAAGGAAAGCGCTTTCGAACAATGAGGGTGGAGGCACTAAAAAAACAGAAGCAATAATGGTGATGGTGCCAATAAAAAAAAACTTCTTTCTTTTCGAAATCGATTTCTTGAACCTCGCTGCTCCAGGGCGCGCTCCTCCCCTGCACCTCTTCAATGGCTCCTATGGTATGGTGCAATGCAATGTAACTAGTAGGCATCAATCATTGAGTCGCAAAAAAGAAAAAAAAATTACATTCACTATTTTTCTGGTACCTCTTCCCAACCCCCCTTCCCAAGCTCTTCCGCCCCATCCTCCACCTCGCCCTCCGCTCCTCCGACTGTTGCCGGTAGTTCCTGTTTGTATTCGTCAACAAGGTAGGATCACATTGTTAGTGATGTACACTTTCATTTTGCTCACGTGGAATATAGCCTTTTCCTTTATTCATTACCTTTGTCTCTCTCTTCTTGGCCGTGTTTGTGGATGACGATGACGGGTTTCCGGCTAAGGAAGCCGGGTTTGATGGCTGACCGTATGTTTTCATTGGCAAATAGTCGACGACATCTAGCTCTCTCGCGTTATCCTGCGTGGCAGGCTTGCACTCGCTGATGACCAAACGCACTCTCACCCCGCTCATACCTTTGTAAATGGTATAGGATGTGACATGGTAGTCTCCCTTGACAAGCAACCACATGTTCTCCGCATCGCCCGACAGCACTGAGCCGCATACTGATAAAAGGGGCTTTGTCGTCGCGTCGCCACATTCTCGCCTGTCAACGGAATCTTGAAGTAGACTCTCTGTCCTTCGTGGATGGTAAAGGCATTGAAGGTGGTGGTATCAAAGCTGTCCTTGTCACTGCGTTTGAAGACTGTGACAGGAAGGTACTCAGAATTACAAATAGGAAGAACTATTGGTGCCATTTGAAGGACCGGAAAGGGAAAGACGATGAAATAAAAAAAAAGAATAAAGAAAAAAAAAAAGTTTAAATAAAGGACAAGAGAAGGAGGAAAAGAAACTGAAAAAATGAAAAAGGTCAAGATAATTTTTTTTTTAAAGTGGGTTCTTTGAAAAATCGCGCCCCTTCGGTCAGCTGGGACCTGGACTTTAAAGAGATTGTATAAATGCAACATAATGAGTATGTGAGTATCGATAATTAGGTCACATTCATTCTTTTGACAACCATGACAACATCATCCTAACCATCACGATTAAACTTACCTCAAGGTCTACCAGGTAAACGCCAGCAGAACGACCTCAGCAGGACGTCAAAGCGCGTTTTACGTTGCAGTTCGTTTGGTATCGCGTGAGATTGAAAACCTGAAGTACAGAAATCATAGAGAGATGGTTAAAAGAAAGTTAATGAAGAATAGAAGCTTTGTCTTTTATAGACAACGTCCTTGAAGTCTTTACCACTCCGCATAAAAGCTTACTTAATTACTAAAATGCAGGCCTCGCCATTGATCGGCTTTTGATATTTTATAGTGCGTGCCAGAACTGATGCAATAAATTACATTTTTTAATACTCATTCCTCATTCTCCTTTCCCTCTCTAATTTTCTTCCCTACCACCACCGTCTCTCATTCTCATTTGTCTCACCTCCATAAGCTCTCATCGCCATCGTCATCAGTGGCCTAGTTAGAATTTAATTGTAATTTGCTTTCAGCATCTCATTGCATCTATTACGGCAATTTATAAATTCTTCTCCTTCCCCCTAATAATGTTCCCTCCTTTAGCCTTATATATCGCCCTCATCCTCTTCGGCATACCATAATATAGCTTATGTAAGGATTCAGGAGTGATATATGTCCATACAACTTGAACTCTATCCCAAAGGTTCTCCATTTTCTTTGGCTTGTCTGGATATTGATCCATCTGCACCTTCATGTATGCCGTATGTTTCTATTGGGTTGATGTCATGAGCGTTTGTTGGCCATTTCATGAAAAGTATCCTAGACTTTTGGATATAGTTCATTGTAACTTTTCCACTATGAATGCTAGCATTGTCCTGCAGAAATATGAATTCGCCCTTATGCATCAAGTAGTAATCTCTGGATCTAAATATATAGTCCTTAGGGCATCGACGTAGGTTATCGAATCAACCTTAACTTGGAGCCAACAATCATCACCTGGTCCGTACAGTGACCCGCATCTAGTCACGATTTTTTTTTTCATTATCCTTCTTATGCTAGCAACCTCTCATGTGTAATCAATCTTTTATTAAAGCTTGAGATTCCAGGACTAAATTAAATAAATAAATAATGAGAGCGCCCTAGGCTAGTCCTCATCTTTCTTTTCGATGTGGTAGGAGAAGAGGGCGGGTGTGGCGGGATAGCAGAGGGTTGCTAGCTCGGATAATGAACGTAAAGACGTCCTTTGTCGTCTTAGTATTCCTCTGCAAGGAACAATCTAGAAATTGGGCATAGTATTGCCTGTGTAACAGTCGAATGCTTAACTTTATTTTTGTTGTTGCATTAGGAGTTGTCAATTTATTTCTGGTGAAGGGGTAACATTTTTTTTATCTTTTATTTTTGACCTTATTATCTAAATTAGTTAAAGATCCCTACATCTACATTGCAATACAATGGACCCATGGCTGTAGTCTGGGTAGCAGCGACATACATAACAGGAGACTATGCCCTCAGAATACAAGGCATGTGGTAGGGCTTTTTCAGTTTCTTATTTTTTGGATTATATAAATTTTATTGATATTTTCTCATCTGATAAAGACTAAACAAGTTTCCCAAATTGCACCGTTCCTTCTTCCATTTCACTTCTGTATGTAGTTGCAGCCGTCCACACCATGCGCGCAGCTCACGCCCAAATAATGAAGAGTAAGTAATTTCGGTGTTTAATATTCGTAGGAAACTTTTTTTTTTTTTTTTTTTTTTTTTTTGACACTTTAGCGATTGACGTATGCTGAGCCTAAGCTTATAGGCCTTCTATGGCTTTAGTAGCGCTATCAGGAACCATAAGCAGAATGTTGGGTTAATTCGAAAGCAAAGCCACCCTATTTTTTATTCAAGTAATGTTCATTAGTTTATGATATTCTTTTTTTAACCTTCCATGATTATTACTTACCCGCAGGGCAAGTACCGTCAACCAGCCTTCTACAGTATATAATGCAGTCTTTGCAGTTGCCTAGGGGGAGAGTCGAAGACCATGTCCAAGCAATAAAGGGTGAATTTTATTTTCAACGGTTCGATTTCGCCGCTCTCTCATCAATAGGCCTTTAAACCTTATTTTCTGCTTTTATAGCATTGTTGGTGATTCAGCGCAAAATGGTACTAGACTAATGTGCACATGAAGTATTGCTTTTGAAGGTGGTGGAGATGAAAATGAAAGACCCATGCAAGGACAAAGGTGTACTGCTTTTTGTTCGGATTTTTATTAGCTTATTATATTATACATTATGTGTTCTCAATATTAGGCACTAGAGGCACCGCTCGGAGCCGATGCCCAGTTGCTTTTATTGCGGCCCCTTCATGTTTAGTGAAGTACGTGTGTGAAACGCAGTAGCAAAAGCCGACCAGAATTTCCGTATCGCTGGAGAGTTGCCCATCTGATTGGTCCTATGACGCTGGCCGAAGGCGCTCTCCCTCAGTTTCTGTAGGCTCACTCCCACATTCATGGCCCTGTTCAGCAAGCAAGAATCCGCAATAATCATTTCAGGGATTCCATTGATGAAGACCTATAACTGGAGCTACAGCAACTCCTTGAATTACACCACCAGATGGTCCGTACTCTCAAGAGCTTCAGAGGACGTGTGCACGGGATATCATGCAGCTGATGTACTGAGCCTCAGTATGAGAGAAGAGGGCAAAGGAGAATGCAGTACACGCTCCTCCCATCAACTGAAATGGCGGTTTTGATGCCTGGCAACAGTAATAAGGTTTCTCAGTGAGACACCATAATAGAAAGTAAAGCTGATAGTTTGAAAAAAACCAGTGAGGCCCATTCAGCTTACGATAGCCTCCATTATGTCCTCTTGCGCCCAAGAGGCGAAGAGAGCTGAACATATAAAGACTATAAAAAACAGCTTAAGCCGGACCAAACCTTTACAAAGCCTCATGATGCCAGCGATGACGAAGGTAGTGACGGCGGCCAACTGGAGGCGGATGTGGGTGAGGGCAATGGTCAAGCTAGGAAAAGTCGAGAATACGTCAGCGTGAGAGGGTTTTACACGTACAGGTTGCAGGTTCATCCTATGAACTCAACAGACCCACGATCTTTCATCTAGATGAATACGCGCCTGACTCACTAATACATCGTCAATCAATATGCCAAGTTGGAGGCGGATCGGCTTCGGTTCATCAGCAGGAACCAATCTAAGCTGAAGGCGGATGCATATATAGGCGCAATAGGTGCAATGGAGCTTAACCTTAGACCGGAAAACATTGGAAAGTAAATTACCTTGCCAGGATCTTAAGGTGTTGATTGGGAATGGCAAGACAGGAGGCAGGCCTGGACTATACACGCGAAACATTGTCTAAAAGGATGCTTTGTAGACAGGCATCTCTCGCATTCACTGCCATACCTTCCAGATATCCTCCCTTATTTTATGCTGTATTTTTATTTTGTATTTTATTTTTGTGCACTCTACTGCCGTATATTATTTTACCTGATTTTACTTTATTGTATTTTTATATAGTGTCGATTTTGTTTGTAGTTTTTGAAATGGCAAAAAAGACCCCAGTCAATGAAAAAGCTATGCGAAGATACTATTCGTTGTATATATGGTAACGCTTTCGTTATCAAAATCAATCAGTCGTTGCACTACGCTTTATCTTGTTTTCATGAGGCAAAGCACTAAATTTTCTAACGAGGCAAGAGCCGGCCGTGGCTCTGCCACGGTCTCCGGCTCGCTGATAAATAAAGGAATGCACTAGTGAGATCACTGTGATTGTGAGGATATATGTGTGTATGAGAGGGGAAGAGGAAAGGAAAAGAGAGAAGGGTTTTATTGCTTTTTGGCATCTCAACATACCACATTCCCATTGGAAGGTTTATGAATTATTATGATAGGCATGTAATCATTCCAGATGTAGTCAGGATACCTCTAATTCGACTGCGCTTAAGCAAAGAGGCGATTAGAAATATATCGTTTGCTTTGCCAAAAAGCATCGGAACCACGGCTTCCAGTCATGCATACGACTAAGGAACAATCCAACATGCTCTGCACTTTTTGCGTATCTCCGCTATGGAGGAACTTCAGTCGTTTTAGATTTGAAGAGAAGGTTGCGCATCAGTGGTTTCTATGGAGCTATTCTGGCCGCATAATTTTTTGCTAAAATCAAATGAAACCTATCGGTTCCTGATCAAAAAATAAAAAGTGTGTAAAGATATAAGATTTTCAAAAATAATAAAGCGGACAGGAGTAAATAAAATCCAGTACGCAATATCAAAGTGCTGACTGGGCAATGGGTATATCAAGTTGAATCGTTCTTTGTACCGCCATCCTATAAATAGCGGAAACATGCTTCCATACTCATATTTGCAAGCTTCGATGCCTTGCCAAATGCACAAAAAAAAAAAGAAAAAAGTGGCAAATAACAGTAGAGCGGACTATCTGTTAGTGCTTCCATCCATGTTCGACAAGGAAAAAGGAGAGGCCTCACAGGTAGAGGCGAGAAAGCTATTACATCTCTAAGGCTACGTTCCACTGCGCGGTAAGGCAGTTTGACAAGATAGAGAGGATAAATTCAGATGGATAAAAAAGAATGAGAACTATAGCTCAAATGTAATCATACTCAACGACTGTTGCTTCCGTTGCCATTAATTCCGACTAACTTGTAATCCTTAGTTGGGAAGTTTATCAGACATTGCCTACCAAAAGTGCTTCTTTGCTCTCGCCATCTCTTCGATGGGCTAGACTGTGACACCGTACATTCATGTCACCAGCCTTTTTCCATGTTTTATCACTTCCACGCTTCAAATCCCTTTGCACTGTATCCTGAAGGCTTGGTAGCCTTATCATTTGCAATCAACAAGCTCCAGTTGGTCGTGTTATGAACCAATGCTATTAACCATAGTGCTTCGCAGGAGATAAGCTTTATTTTCCTTTCTTCTTTTTTTATTGTGAGAATTCCACATTATTGAACTTTGCTTAACCGGGTATTTTATTAAAAATAAAGCTTGCTTGGCGGTGCCCGTTATATTAAACAAGAAGAATATTATTGTTAAATATCTCTGTAGATTCTATAACGCATCCTTCGTGCCCAAGTTAAGGATAAAAAAAAAAAAAAAAAAAACTCAATACATATATACACATATCCTTCATACGTTTGCGCGCCGTATCTCTCTCTATTGGCAAACTTTGACTTAGTAAAGCCGCCTGGAATACGTCCTGACTTTGTCGACTGAAGATCATATTAAATACAACGATATAACTGAAATAAAGTTTTCAAAGGGAAGTCTCAAGATCCGAAACGTCCCTGCTCAGAACACGTCAGATTACCAGGTGCAATCGACACGCGTACTTCACAAAACTTCTGGCATTAACGAAGAGTTTGTAAAGTGGTGGAATCCATAGGAGTGAGACACCTAACATAAGTGTACGTCTCACACCGCTGCAGATTGAAAGAAGCACTTTGACTCAAGATATCCAAATCATGCTCAGGAGCGTAGACAGGGTGACTTATACATGACCCAGTCAATGTTGCTCACACCCATTGGCATGCCAGGCATAATCAATACATATGTTGTATAGAAACCTCTGGCAAATAACGAGGAATCTATACAGTGTTGGAATCCATAGGAGAGAAGTTCCTACGAAAGGTGTATGTCTCATTCACAAGAAATGCACTTCCAACGCTGCATGCCAAAAGAAGAACTTCATTCTTGAGTCAATGCATCCAAGATGATGGTCAGAAATGCAGACATTGGTGATCGGTCCCAAGCTCCTGCGACATGCTCAACGCGTAAATTATAGAAATAAGGAAATGAGAGAATGAGAGAACGATGAGAGCAAGTGTTGTTTCAGGCATGAAATTTTTTATAGCCCAAAGCTTTAGGTTTGTCAACCCTGGCCTGGCTCCACTGCATCTGTCCAGCTTTGGTTATGTGCTGCTGCTACTGCTGCCAACTGTACATCATGGCCGTTACTTTAGGGATTGATGGTGTTGTAAGCTGTGCTCCCAGTAGTCAGGATCCGATTTATTAAAAAATCTCACATACCATGCCATCTAATGATCTATTGAAAACTGATACTCTGTTCTTAATGATAGCAAAATTGTGTCCCATCAACGGGTTCGGATTTCAAGGAGGGGCGTGGGAATGAACGATTTAGATATCATCCCTCATGTCAATGACAATGAAAGATGAAAATGTGTCTACCATCTCTCCAGCGTTCTATACAAGCGTAAAGATAGATCGTCTGAAGATGCCGGTGCCAAAACTAGAGGAAAATAGCCTTCAATGAAAAATGACTGAAAACTGTGTCCTTGGTTGGCCTAAACAGAGAATGGGTGTAGAGTACAATCTTTTTTTTTCGGGTAAATACTTTCGTGTATTAGTTAGTTCTGACAATGTATTCTAAAAAGCTCAAATACGGATATCCTTACTCCCTAAGAACAAAATGGTTTGATCGCTTTATCACGACTTATAGATCGGGTCGTAAGCCCTTCATCTTCCTTGCAGTGTTCTACAGACAATGTAGTAGCGGTCTCGACTTTTATTGTAGCTTCAAAACTTGAGCCGTTTATGGATAACGAGTGTCATGACCACGAAATCAACACACCGGAAATAGCACTCTTAATCTTTAAATCTAATGATCCAAAGTTTTTTCAAGCGATAGCTCCCCTTCACAACAAACACTATATCTATTCGGAGGGAGCCTTTTCTTTTCTTTTTTCTCTTTTCTTTTTTTTTTTTTTTTTTTTTTTTATTATTCGATGCTTTAGTCAATGCTGATGATAGTTCGTTGTCGAAGTCCATGTTCCTTTTTTTTGTCATTAATATATATGCATATGGATATATGCATTACTTTTTGTATTCTAGTTTACTTCTTCTTCTTTCCCTTTCCTGATGTTGTTGTAGCTTGTGCAATTTGTTTGGCAGTCAGCGTCTTACGATCCACATCTCCACCGTCTGCAAAATCCAAATCGTCAAAACCATCCATATCTCCGAATTTTTTAGCGAAACGAGAAAGCTGGCCCGAGTCGTCACCAGTGGCATTACCACGCATCTCTGGGTTCCAAAGTGGATGATTTCTTGTATCACGAGTCAAACGGATCTGAGCACGAGGGGAAGGAGTCCGCAGTGTAAACGTGGCGCCATTAGAGAGAACAATTGTCTGGTCAAAAAGTTCGGGAAATCGAGGACGAGAATGATCTGTTGAGGTTGTTGATGCTGCGGTTGATGAGGACTTTTGACGGATGGCCATTGCCACTCTGAGATGAGAAGTCGATCTGGTGCATAGAGCAAGCGGTCGTGTGAAAGAGCTCATTATTATTTTATATTACAGATGTTAAATGAGGTGATGATGGAAAGAGAAAGGAGCACATGAATCTCTTTATTACCCTATAGTCTTGGTGGCACATCAATTGGGCGTTTGTTTGTTCATTGTGGCTTGCGCTGATTCAAGTGATTTGTTGATATTTCACATTGGAAAAAAAGTGCACATTTTTTTAATATATTTATTTTATTCTTGCTTGACACGCTTTACCAATCGCTCATCTTCCGTTTCTTTATCCCCTTCCAACACTACTGGTACTGCTGATGGTGGTCCAACAGAATCTTGTGTAGAAACTGTGGTGGTAGTTGTTGTGGTCGTGGTGATTAATTCTGTAATAACAACTGTTTCCGCCTTTTCAGTCTCCCCATGTGTCCTTTTAAGTTTCTTTGCTTCTGCGTTCCTCTTTTCCTGAGCTAGTCGCTCGCGCTTTGTCAACGCTGCCTGGACGGGCTTATTAATAATCTTCGTTGCTGATAGCAAACTGCCTCCAGAGCCCCACGTTGACATCTCAGGATGTGTCCGTCCAGGAAGAACTTGTGATTTCCTAAGCCAACTCTCTGTCAGTTGGGGAGCTAAAAGATCAGGGCACCTGCGCATCCAAGTGCTAGTCTCCAATAGAGCCTCCTTGTGTGGATGGTAAACGATAACGGGTCTAGATCCTCGTACATATTGCAATAGCTTCTCAAGAATTGACTCTGGCTTGTATTGGGAAGCAACAATCAGAGCATCAAAATTACTTTCAAACAAAATTTGGCGCGATTCCTCAACAATCTTGTAAGCTTTAACACGACGGTGATAGCCCTCCAAATCCTTTCCAGACAACTGCGTTACATCTTGGAGCTCATCCGGAGTCTCTGCAATGCGGAAACAAAGAAGTGTAAGCGAGAGAAACAATACTAAGAAACTTAAACCCAAATATATAAAATAAATGATGCTCACTTTCGTCTGCTGGGCGGTGGATACGGAGCCAAGACAACACCTTGATTGAATCTAGAATCTCCTGATTGAAATTCATGTACTTGACTACATCATAGTGTGGATTATCGCCATCATACAGTCCAAGGATTGTGCCTTGGCCTGATATCCAGAGAGATAAACCCCTTTGATAAGCATGAGTAGTTGAGATAACTATCATTGATAACTACACCAAAGGAAATAAATAATGCAACCAACCTCCCATGCGTTCTGCAAGAGCCGAAACGATCATTCCCTGGGTATCATCGACAACCAAGATTTTGCATCCAGAATGCACGTTAGAGTATGAAAGTAGCTGCGAGAGTGTGTCCATACGGATATCCCTGATTTTGACTGGATTTTTGGTATAGAAATACTCGTTGACAAAATAAGTAGTGGGTTTGATTGGAGTGAATATTTTGTGAAACTTTTTGCCTTTCTTCTGGAGGTATTTTGCCTGAGAATATGCTGTTTTCTTGTCAAACGCACTATGACTCTCTTTCAACTTATTAACGATTTCCTACAGATTTTTTTGTTGGAATTAAGGGTCTATGTTAAAATCATTCTAGCAATAGTAAAAGATCCTTATTTCCCTGTCCTCAGAAAAAAAAAAAGATACCTCTCCTGTGAGCTCTCCTTTAAGTCCTTCATTCTTGAGTGCTCTAATGTCTTCCAGCGTCAGCTTTTGTGCAGAACTGTCATCGATGATTTCACGATTGTTATTCTTCGTCTCTTCGACTTCGTTGATCTCATCCAAGTGATAGATGCGAGTCTTGTTGTCCTTGTCATAAATCTCATAAGTATTGCCCCAAGCACGGCCAATAATGTCATTGGCCTTAAATGTTCCAAACTTCCCAAGCGACACATTGCTATAGCAATTGAAGCTTGGATATTAGATATTTGAATCAAAGGAGAAAAAAAAAAAAAAAAAAAAAAAAAAAACTTTCAACGATTAAAATAGGGAATTTCCAGTATACCTATTAGGCTTTAGAACAATGCATTTGACATTGTCACTAGGCATTTTGATGAAGACATGTTCCCCGGCATTAATTGTGTCGGGATTACCACTGACTGGTTGGTCATGTTGGACAGATTCCATGTCGATCCTTGCTTTTGGAAGAGAAACAAACAAGAAGTAAGCTGGCTGCATTCATGAGGAAAAAAAAAAAATAAAAAAAAAATAATGGCTTAGACACGAATATTTATTTAGGAGGCGAGGGAGCCACAGGCCGATGAAAGAATGGAATGAAAATGACTCACTTGACTGAATTTCTCCTGCTTCTGTTGGAAATATTTGCTCAGGACAAATGGGGAACATGCCACTTAACAAAGACAAACGACCCAGGAATATGTCGAGGTCAACATGAAGCACGGTATATTCAGGCTAACCGTTGACTCAATCAAAGAGGCCAATAGCTCTCTCCCTTTCCCCAGCGTCTATCCCAATCATTCGGCAACGGCTAGGAGAATCTGAATAGGCTGTGCAAAGCTTCCTGCATTTAAGAGCAATGAGTAATATCCAACACGGCCATTCAGCCGTAAAGGCTACGAGAGCGAATCTCGGCAAAATCCTTGTGGAGTTCAGCCATGCTCTTATCACAAGCCTACGGCAAGGATGAGCATACACTTCTTTTTTTGACCAAAGTTCTAAAACTGTTCCAAGGACTAATGATATGTCGGATGAGGATCATGGCAGATATGGCTCTTGCATTGACATGTGTTCATAATAATGGGATAGGGAGTACAAGAGCACCAAGTCTGCTACCTATTTGTCGAATATTAGTCGAAATGACTAACAAAAAAAAATTAGAATATGTTTGTAATGATACGCATTTGAACGCTCTACAAAGCAAAAAGATGCCAACGACTGTTAAATCATTAGCTATTGAAATGGTTACTGTGAATATCCCCAATTTTAAATGCCTTGATAAAGCAATGGCAGTCTTTATTTTAAAATATATAAGTAAATGAGAATACAGCTAGGAATGAGACGAATCTCGTCGATGAACTTAATGAAAAAATGAAAATAGTAAAGAACATTTGGGTATCGATATCTGCAGTATATTAAATCACTTGGGGGGCAAGCTCTCCAAGCTATTGCATATTCTGGTAGATCTATGCTTTAATGCAGCGCCTACTCTTCGCTGGGTAGAGCTTTTAGAAGCAGATCGCTAATTTGTTTCATTTGCTTCTGAATATCATCAATTCGTCTATCCATATGCGCCTGGGATGTCGTTAGTTGAACCTTCAACTCCTCCACATGACATTCCAAAGTCTGCATTCTCTCCGTGGCGCCTATGCTGCTTGGCAAGTGGTCTTTATCCTCATCTTTAGAATGCCTTTTATTAGAAGGACCGCTTATGACCATATTTGCTTTTAATTGATCGACAGCAGAAGAAATGTTCGACAACCGACTCTGTATACTGTCGTTCTCCTTCGAGGTTTCCATGTTGTCAATTCTCTTCATAAAGGCGCTGACTTGTTGTTCTGAGGCTGTATAGTAAATGGCTTTTGGAAACCAATTGTACTTTCGTCTGAATCCTGGAATACGATCCCCAATGGCAAACAAAATAGTGAGTATGAGCTGTAGCATATCAATTATAAGGCTTTTCACGTTCTAGCCTAATTTGGTAAAGAAGAATTATAGACGTACCTGCAATATGATAAGACAGATTCTCTGCACTTTCGACGTACCGGAGCCGATTCACAAGCCATGTTTGGACCCAAGTTTCACTTTCAGTAAATCCAGTGTTAATCAAGGCTATTCATATGAAGAAAAGAGATCGTTTAGGAACCTTAAGCAGCTTCTTATATGCCCACTAACATTACAAGTAAAGGTTTGTCATGTGTTTTACCAATAAGGACATTCAGCATCAGGATAACTGTAAAAAGTACGTAAATCATCATCATTAAGTGAAGAGTCCAGTTTTCTGGTTCATTTAGAAGGTCGTTCACGGAATCATATCTTCCGGCCTAAGGCAGAATTTTTAACACATTAGCACTTTGTCAAAGGCGAGCAGGATGGAAAGATAACGAGAAACTAAGGATGATTTGAAGACATACCATGAAGAAGTAAGTTGCGGAAAGCGCGTAAAAAAAGTGCTTTGGGAATGGGGCTTTCATGCATTCATCATTGGAACAAGCATGGACCATGTGCAAAATGGCAATAGAAAATGCCATTATTCCGCAAGCAAATATGAAAAAGAAAACCCGTATCCTGCTAATGATTTGAATAATAATTGTAGTGTAATAGCACACGCTTCTGATTGTCCTAAGTTCAAACAGCTGTTAAACGTATATCAAATGAGTAACAATTATTCAGGTACAGCTGTACTTTCATCGACTTTGAGCAATAGCAGGACGTCATCATATACACTTACCAGATGTAAGGATATAAAAAGTACAGCGAAACTAAGCACGATGACGCCTTCATCGTTGTGGCCCAAAAGATGACTAATGCTCGCTATCATTGGGAGTCCAAATGCTACCAAATCGGCCATATTATAAGGAGAGCTGTGCAGCATTTAGGTCAATATATATAGAATATTCACTAGAGAATTGTGAGAAAATTTCTGAGGAAAATTTACTGGTTCTTACCTGATATATACCCAAGGTCTCTCAAGTAGTTGAACAAATTCCAGCCACAAAAATATCCCTGAGAACGTTGCGATGGCAATGTACACATGAAAAAGTGTATCGTAGCTTCGGTAGACCTGCACAAGACTGGCTGTAAGGACTAAAATGTAATAGATACTCTGGACAATAAATCGAGTCAACCACAGCTTGAATCCAATCGTATTCCTAAAATGTGAGAGTGAACAAGAGGCGTTCAAACTATTAGCTTCAGTTTCTTTTTTTTTTTTATAGAAGCAAAAGTGAAGAAAAAAATCAAAATGCTCGATTAACATGTTTTCATACCACTTGTACTCGATCAAAGCAGCAAGCGCTGGGTTGTCGAAGAATTCAGAGTGGGCAGTATGAGGCACAACGGAGACCCGACTGCACGGGTTGAAGCTATACCAGGCTATAGATACCAGAGTGTAGAGTCCAGTCTTTACCAGCCAGCTCGAGCTTTCGAAGCTCCGCGAATTCTTGGAGCGAGCAAGGTCCTTGTCAACCCAAAGCATGTCGAATGATGCTTTGAATATTCCGTCTATGAAATTGTCGTTTTGAACATTGCGAGGTTCCGATGACAGATGTAGCTGTAGTATGGGGTTGTTGCATTTATATAGTAGTCGTTCACTGTCTTTCTTAAATAGCATTTTCATCTCAGGAGGATGAGCAATGATGTGATTATCGACGACATAAGAGCTCTTTTTGACAGGAATATACGCCATTCGCTGAAGAATATCCAAGGCAATTTCTTGGTGCGGCCGCTCCTCATCGCATAGCTCAGGAAGACATGCCACCAAGGGCGTTATGAAAAAGTGGTCTTCCTCTTCATGGGCTCTCCGAAGGCAGTATTGCATGAATGTTTTGAAGAGGTTCATGGCTAAAGGATCTTTCCGAGACATCTCAAGAGTTACCCATAGCGGATTCGACCCTTGGCAATAATCTGGTCGCGGGATCCATCGTGTGCTCTCGGGTGAAAGTAAGGAAACCAGCAGGTCTTCACAGGTCTTGCGCGCTGTCGGCCATGCTTCGAGAACTTTACCAAGAACACAGTCGAGTAGATTACTCGGGTTGGGGTATCGATTGATGTGAGCCTCGAGATAATGAAAAATCGCCCTTTTACACGTATCGTTTGAGTTCTTGTACATTTCAACCAGTCCAACGACCGCACTAGCGAACTCGAAACCATAGTCACAATCATGAGGTCGATCTAAAGGTACCTGCACCTGAATAGGTTCATCGTCGATATTGTAGTGATATAGCCAAAGTAGCAGTTGTTTTTGGTGTTTACAGCTCAACAGACCTAGTCTTTCGTATAACTGCAACGCGTTGTTATCAACATCCCAGTACGGTTTGTCCTGAAGCCAGTATACTTGCAAAATCTTACAATCGCCAAGGAACGTCTCAGGAAGCTCTAATACGATCACGATCTCATCCGAATATAGGAGTAATTGGGGCAATCCATCCAAGAAATGTGCGGATTTGTAGTAGCCTGTGTATTTCGTAAGAGCAAATGGCGGAATCGTGATAAGTTCGCGTTGGGACCCATATTGAGAGATGGTCAAGGTGAATGTATGAGTTTTCACCGCAGCATCATCTGGAGGTATATTAAAAGTGTAGCTGAAGAGTAGTCCGGACGACGATGTGGATGTTACATTGTCTGAGAGTTCATAAAAGCCGCTCGTATCACCATCTTTGCAATTGCATCTGCATATTATAGGGCCTGGAGGGCTTGTAGAGCTTGGAAGGTCTGCAGGGCTTGTGGGGCTTGTAAGACAGAGGTAGTCCTCCAGTCTGATTTTATCCAGTGTGGACCCGTGGCTCACGTAAAGCTCTTGCGATCCAATATCCTTACATCTATCTTTGCCTTTACGAAAGTATTGACCAGGATTGAAAAAGGTATCCAGCTGCGTCATGGAAGTTGCGTCCAAGATATAACCCGAAATTTCCTGTACACTATCACGGGCATTGCTGCAGTTGACTAAAATCTGACTACCGTTGTGGATAAATGTAAGGCCAATAGTACGAATCTTAGGGCCTGATACGAACTTTCCAATTGCTGTCCCGGATCCTGTCCAGTAGTTTGTGATCGTGCCGCCTTGAGATACTGCTATCATCGACGCATCGCTTGAAAACGCTAAACATGCGCCCTCCATATCAAGCACATTGACAACAGCTGCCAAGGCGCTTTCTTCGATGTCCCAGATAAAAACCTGACCCTTGTTTCGGAACCAAGCAAAGAACTTGCCTTGAAGTGCAATGGTTGGTTCTCCGATGAAGAATGAGGCGCTCACGCTAAGAGGCACCGTACAAACGTGACTCCAGCCTCTGTGGACTTCATATATGCGGACTGATGTCCCATCGCACGCAATGAAGAGCTCATTCTCCTCCTGAGGGCAGTTGGTATCCGATATATGAAACGTTCCTTCTCCATGAAAATCAAAGAGATTATTGCAGCGCTGCAATGTTGAGAATCCTGATGATTTACCACGCTGATCCATACTCATGTCATGGCTGCAGGGAGCAGAATACTTAAATACAATCAACTCTTTTGTTTGGCCGTCTTGTATTGTCCGAAAAACTGCCACAAAAATACCACTCCACGAAATAGAAACAGCGCCACTTTCCAAGGGTTGAATCTGACTTTCAGTAATACTAGAGTCCAAGAAGGAAAATTGCTCCCCTGTACACCATGAAGGGCTATGGTTTCCTGTATTCCAGCACTCAGCCTCATTCGCAGTTAAGAGACTGTTATTGACGCTAGACAGATCCCACAGATCAAGATAAACATGACGATTTGTAGTAGAAAGTGTCGCAGCACGTTCACCATTGCCAGAGATGGCACTGTGCATGATCTTAGCCGGTAATGCTGGGCCTGGATCGGTATCAGCTTCCCTATGCTCAACATCAATCGACCACAAATACGGTTTGTGGGCACGTAAAGGAGTACCTATAGGCTGTCAGTTACTCTGAGCTTACTAACTGCTAAGGCTAATATATTTAAGGTTATATACCATACCTTTCATAAAATTTTCGATTGAGCATGATTGCAACTCAAAGTAGTGTAGTTTCGGAAAATGCTGCTCGGATGAATCACCGTCGAGACATATCTCCATGTCCACAAGTAGCAAGGGCATAGTGCCATTGTAATTGCTGCTGTCAAATTGTCGATGAAGCTTCCATCTAACAATGCCTTTCTCGCAATCTACTTGCATCCATATCGTTAGCATACTGAGTCTTATTGTTAATACTTCACATGTAGACTATCCGATTATTGCCTTACACATTTCTTTCAGCTGCTGTTTCGTAATGACCTAGTTGGTAATACAGAAATAAAATGATCATTGTAAAATAAATAAATTGAAAGGTACAAATAAAACAAAATAAATATAAATATATAAAAAGGTGTATAGAGCCAAAGTACCTACCTCTTTGTATGGTTGCGGTACGATGAGGAATTTTGGATTGTCAACATGAACATGGAAAACGATCGAGCTCAAGCTTTTCAAGTCAACTTTATTGAAGGAAATGCCAAGGACAGGCCAATAAAGCCCTCGGTTCAGATGCTTGATATCAACAGACCACTGTTGTGTCACACCAGCCATAACCGGAGGCATATAACTACATGCACATATTACATTAGTTGTTGTCAAGAAATCAATATTTAATAAAGTGAAGCATATTCAATACACATTCAAGATTGATAGGCTTAATTACTTACTCGGAAGTACATGAAAGATCTTTGCCATATGGTTGAAAGTACCAACGAGAACCTTTACGATAAAAAAAAAAAAAAAAAAAAAAAAATTAACACTCGTTTTTGATGATATTTTGAACTGATAGGTGTTTGTGCTTGCGCCAATGGAATCATAGCCGTCTTCAGGGGCACCAATTTTCAAGTTCATTTTTCAAACAAGTTTCCTACGAGAACTGACTTCCGGAGTATCTGAATCATCTGTAGGTAGATTGACAATACAATCCGGGTCACTCATTGCTATTGCTGTTTTCTTATTCTTAGCATTGTCATTATTTTTACGACGTTGTTTCCCCATGGTAAAGAGAGAGGGGTTTTAATCTTTTATACAAAAAAGGAAGGAAGGGTGCGGAAATGAAGATTCTTGATATGGGGGGCAAAGGGCACCTTTTTATATCCAAAAACACAAGATTGTGACTGAAAGGTACGTGTAAAGGACAAAGCCAATCAGTTTGCTGCTGTGCGGGAAAATGGGAGAATGTTCAATGGCACTATCGACGAGTTTCAACAGTAGGCTCTCAATGCTAGGGAAATCTTATTGGTTCAGGAATGGAAAAAAATTTTGCTGCCAATAATTTTTGCATGATTTTGATTTTCACTTCGACTATGCCATCATAGTCTACAACTCCTTTGTTTTGGAGTAAACAATCATTGCCAGATCACATTCATGCTATGGAATGTATTGCTTCATGGTCTTAGAAGAGCAATTGATTGAAATGAATAAACATCCAGAGAGGGCTCCGCGGCAGATTGTCAATAAAAAACAAACAAAGTGGGTGCATCTTCTATTCGGCTCTGAAACGGCTCAGGGATGCCCCAGATCTTACCTAATATGTACATTACTGTCGCATTTTTTTGATGGTGCATGCAGAGGGTCAGACGATTAATGAAATGAAACACAAAAGTGGCCTATTCATTATGTGCAGATGGCATGGAGAAACGATGACCGTGCAAGACTTTTTTAAACAACGTCAGTGCACACAACAGGGAATATTATTAAAATGGGAGGTTTAAGTGCGGACACTGCCTGTTCCCGAGTTTGAAATTACAGCGTGGTAGTTGTTATCAGCAGTCAGACTTCATTGTTATTGTTTGTCTATTTGAATCAGTTCTTGCTTGTGGTGGACAATAGGCAATCATAGGCGCTTGTTACAGTAAAATAAGGATTTGTCTATGCAACGTAAAATCCTAAACATAATTAATGCGGCATGAATGACCGAGGCTAAATTAAGAAATATAGCTGGCCAAGTCGAATATCATGACGACTTAAGCTTATTATCCGAGTGTCAGGACCATATTTGTCCCACACTATACCCACCCTTTTTTTTACGTACTCTCCAGGCTCACTATCAAGAAGATGCAGATCCACTTGGTAGCACAGAGCAGATTTTAGCTTTATTTCATTCATCGACTTCTTTTATTTAAGGGTAGCTATCTGTATTTCGCATATTTGGCAACAAAAGAAGATTACATGTGTATGGTCCTGGCTCGAAGGATAATATAAAACACTTATACTTTATTGTATTGCGATACAAATCAAAGAAATGCTAATACCTAATTTGCATCATCATCAGAGTAGTTAAAGTATCGTCTACACCAGCTAAAATCTCCTCATCGCGGCGTTTTTTCGCTATAAAGACAAACATGTCCTCCTCGGACCCAAAGATCTTCAGTGACTCTTCATCATCACTCTCATTACTTTGATGCGGATCAGTACTTGGACGATTTTTTTCAATCCTTACGACTTCAAATTTAAAGAATCGCCCAAACTGCTCCCAGAATGGCAGCTCTTTCCAATGTGCACGTTCTTTGTATCCAAAGATGATTCGAGTCTCTAGGTCTGTAACTTCCTTCAATGTCTCCAATAGAGGCGGATACAACTCAGGGAAGTACACTAAATCACTTGCCACTATATAGTCGACTCGGCCCTGGGCCAGGATTTTTTCTGCATGGGTCGAGTTGCCCCATGCTAAAGGTTTGACTTCGACTTTGGCACAGGAACGCTGCGAAGATCCTAACTCTGGTGGTGTTGAGGACGTTGATTTTGGTATTGGTGAGTTAATGGAATCGGAGCAGCTGTCTAGAACCTTCTGGTCAATATTGTCCCGCACGTTTTTTTCCAATAATGGAATGACCTCCTCCAAGTCTGTCAAGACCACTGTGCAAGAGGAGCGTAGTCGTTTAGCCAGCGCGATCCCTACGTAGCCAGTTCCAGCTCCAAGTTCAACTATCCTAATAGGGTCTAGTGATTGTTCGCCTGACGATAGAAAAGATGTACTATTAATATTTCTTGTTGATGTTGACGTTGGTGTTGATGTTATTGTAAATGTGCCCACTCTTACCTCTGTTGCTGCAGTTCGCTGTATTCGAGGCGTCTATAAAATACTCATGAGGGATAGGGCATGAAGGTGTGAAGGTATATTGACTTGATGGCCTACGAAGAAATATGTCAATTGCATAAGAGCTTCAAGAAAATGGAGGAATAAATTAGCACTTTGAACCGTATCTACTCATCATATCATGCCTTTTTTTTTCTTTTTTTTTCTATACCTATCCCAGATTCGCCCCGCGATTCCAAATGTAGGAATGTCCTGCATGATTGTGACCATGGCTGAGGTGCCATTATTCTCTGTGTCTTGAAAGGACAAAATCCCTGCAGGAGGACCTCCTGAATCATGAATGTCTAGGTGCTCAGGATGGTTGGTCATTTTCTAATTGTGTTGTGTATATAAGATTCAAAAAAAAAAAAAAAAAAAAAAAAAGTTTCATTGCTAATTGTTAGTCAGATCTAATAGCAAAGTGACGGTGAAAAGAATGTGCTTACTTGATCTGGAATTAGGTTGCGGAGAGCAGGCTGGCTGTGCAAAGTGTCGTTTAGACTACTGGATTCATCATGGCCACAAGAGATCTGACTGCATCTGTCAAAAGAGTGAGAAGTAAACTACCAATCGATCTACAGACTATGGACCATGCTCATTCTCAGCATAAGCATCCCTGCAAAGTGTAATCATGGAGGTCTAATTAGAAGAGAAAGGTTTGATGAAGGTAATGAATCGTTTTACAGCACATCAACCCAGAGTCACCGCTAGTCAAGACAGCAATGTTTCAGTTATGGAGAGTATTATTGGCGTCAATCTGTTCGAACCACAACAGATTGGGTGTAACCCCAGGTCTAGAGCCAGATTTGGGATCCCAGCTTCCAAGCAGGGAGATACTTATCCATGAAAAAGGTCGAACATGTTTCATCTGTATGACGTGCAGATCTGGACCAAGAGGTGCAGCACATTTGATGATTACAACCTTTCAAATGATGCCTTGCGTTGTTGTCACAAGCTATACGCTTGAAACATCCTATCAGTATTACCAGCGACTAGTGATAAGCCTCGTTGTTATTGTCTGTTAAGTGGAAATGGACAAAGACGCAAAAAAAAAAAAAAAAAAAAAAACAAGGCACGGGAACGCTTGGGTTTATCTTCCCACTCCAGTAATAATATTCCCTATATTAATTAAGACCCTAGCATCTTCGTACAGCCTCTATTACTTCTACCAATGGAGTTCCAATGAAATGCTGAGATATAGTGCAATGGTCTAACCCTTTTGACTAAGAGAAGGAATGTTTAAATGCTTTTACATTTTTTATATCGTGTCTACATTCATGTGGGACCGTTTTAAACAAGTTGGCCTTCGGTATTTTCGAGAGGCTTCATACAATTTTTCAGCTGAATAATACTGAGCTCCTTTAGATGAAGTACCCTTTTTACTCTTCGAAAAGTAATCGTAAAAAATTATGGCGAGTCAAAGCAATAGTCAATTTCAAATAATATTAATAATAATAATAATAATAATAATAAAATAAAATACTCGAACACTTGGTATCCATATTGCAGAAATCGCATGGGGGACCCACTTTGGCTTTATGTCAAAGTAGCAGATTCAAAAAGAAAAGGAAAAAAAAAAAAAAAAAAAAAAAAAAAAGAGTGGCAATTTCCATGCAAAAACATTCAAATGACTTCATTACCAGTATACCCTCTGGATGCTTTCGACACTCCCATTACAAGAAACGCAACGTGCACTGCTGTGGGCGCACTGACTACACATCACTAGATGAAAACAGGGAACTATCGCATATTCAATGTCTCCCTTCTTGCAAACCCGACACACAAACTTGGGATTATCATATCCATCTTGAGTTAGTACCTTGGCGCGCTCACTCAGTCGATCTGTTGAATCCTGCCATCTCTTTAGACGTGCTTCAGCAATTTGTAAGTCCTTGGTCATACGCAAATATGTCTGTTCCAGTTCATGAACGGTGCTTAGCTGACTGATAAGTCCGTTCAATGGCCTCGCTGGCTCGCTAGAACTATTGCTGTTACAGCTTGATGACGAAACAATGGCCGCTTCATGGATATCGCCATTCTTTACGATTTTTTCAGCCTCTTTATCCACCAACTCGGCAGACAACTGCAATGGCTTTAGTTTCATTAATCTTGACGAGTCTTTGATGATGTCTAGATTCTGCCCTGCGAGGTCGCCACCATCATGCAACGCTGTCTTCTTGTCAAGGACGTTGTCTAGGCGAGATTCACTAGTTGCACCAAAGTACATCACCTCGTCCTTGTCTTTTGCCGCCTCGCAAACATCATCATCGTCGTCGTCGTCGTCATCATCATCGACATCGACATCGTCATCTCCGCCCGGTTGCTCTGGTTGCTGGGAAGACAATACATGAGCCGGCTCTAGTGCTTGCCAACGAATCCATCTGCCTACGCTCACTATCACGCGACTGCAACCCATTCTAACGTCCGCCAGGCGTTCTGAACACGTATATGAAACAACTGACTTAAATTTCTCCTGAATAAACGTTGCTGAAAGCCTCATTACCTTGCCACAAAAACATGATGGTGCACCACCCTCGGCCGAACCCCTCTGACTATCCCTCTGCTCTCCCCCCCACTGCATCCAACGGCCTATTGTTTGACCTTGAAGGTCACATCTCATCTCTTGAGCCGCTTTCCACAGTTGATTATGTAGGTCACGACGTTTTAGGATGATTCGATGATGCTTACGCGCCAAAATCCTGTCTCTTCTCTTAAAAACCTCGCTCTCTATACTTTGTTGAGTAGTCCCGAGACGATCATAGTCTTGGCGGTGGTAATAACAACTGCTCCTGACTAGAGTCCTGAACAAATCCCAGGCTCCCACGTGCATGTGAAAACCACACACTATCATTTGACAGTGATTTTTGGGTGGAATAATGAGGTCTTCTTCTCTAGTCTCCTCCCTTTGAAACTTCCACCTCATAATGATTTGCTGACATAAACCATCTTCTTCACTGTTGTTGTTGTTATTGTTGTTATTGTTGTTATTGCTATCGTTGTTGATGGTAGTGATGATATCATTTTTGTTAACGTGACCATTAGTATTAATATCATCAATATCATCAGTGATCCTGATATTAGAAGTCTCAGCTCTTTGTGCAAAAGCCTCCCAACTATCTGCCAAGCCTGTCTGTGTCTGAGCCGCAATACCCTCGATGATTCCTCTTAAGTCTTTGAAAACCAAAGTTCTATCTGAATCTTTTTTTTTTTTTTTTTTTTTTTTTTTATAAAAAAAAATAAAAATAAAAATGGAATAAATAAATAAATAAAATAAAATAAGAATAAATAAAAATATATAATAAACTAATCTTGTTAATGAACAACATGCTAGAAAGGGCTACGAAATGACTAGCCTCCTGCTCGAGTAAATGGCCTACTTTTTACACCGTGAACTGTAGTAGCTGCAGTCGTTGTTGTTGTTGTTGTTGTTGGTATTATTGTAGACAAAGGAGGATCTATATCCAAGTGTTCAAACCAAAGGTTCAAGTTTGTGTAATGGCATTCAAATACCATTCCTTCACGTTTATAATGGATGATCTTTGCCGTTTTATGACAAAAACAAGTAGGTAGGGCAATTCTACCCAAAGTAGGCGTTGCAGTAGAGTTGGACATGATTTGACGTGGAGAATTCATTCTGTATTTTTTTAAAAAAAAAAAAGAAAAGAAAAGAAAAGAAAAGAAAAAGTAAAAGTAAAGAGAAGAAAAACATTAAAGATAAAAAAAAAAAAAAAGTATTGTGGAAAAGAAAGAAAAACGACAAGAAAGATCATTGTGGATACACTCTTTTATTATCCATCACACATCATGTGGCAGTTATTGATCAAGTCAAAATTATCACTGAGAATGCTCGATTAATCCATAATATTGAAGCCTACTTTCAGATTCCACGACAGCATTTTTTAAAAAAATGGTTAATTTTATTAGCATCTCAAATCGAAAGCGCTTGCACATGGGGTTTCCTATTTTTTCTATTAACATGATTGAGAAATTTCCTCCACTATTTTTCTCTTGTATTGTCTGAAGTTTTAATTTTGTAGGGCAATGGGTGCGCACATTCTATATTACAACAAGCTCTTTTAGTATGGAGGACGACCCTCCTCATCAAAGCAGATGAGGGGTTCAGGGGAGGCGGCAGAAAGGCCGGCGGAGGGGCCCCGGGCTCCGATGGTAGGACGGAGTGGAGCCCTTATCGAATCGGATAGGCCTCTACGGAAAGAGCCGAAGAAATAAAAAAAAATAAAAAATAAAAAATAAAAAATAATAAAAAAAGCATGGTTAGAATATTTGGTGACCAGAATACAGAAGACCATATCTCATTACAAAGAACAGTATAACGCAGCAACTCCAAAAGAGAAAAAAAGTGCAATATGTTTTACTCAGTAAGAGAGAGTGCTTACAAATCCGCTTGGGGCCCCCGTTTCGGTAAGCACTGCATGAGCTTATTGCAGTCTTTGGGGTGGTCGCTGCTGAGCATCCATCCATCGGTAGTGTTTCTTGTGATGACTAGAAGGACAAAAGGTAAAAGAATAAAAATAACTTAATGGACCTGCTGGGCTCATTTAGCAATGGCTAAACAGTGGGTGACGGTAGGCAAGACAAAGCGAAGCCATGCATATGCTAGATACTTACTTGATGACGGCTCTATAGTAGTTGTTTTTCACGGCTGGGATAGAGCATTTTTTATAGCCTAAGTGTGGCCTTTGTAAGGCATGTGAAGGGGAGGCGGAGAGGATGTGGGGTGAAGAGAGAAGAAAAGAAAAGAAAAGAAAAGTTGAGGGGGAGACGAAGGGTATTTATGAAAACTGTTTTTCTTTTTGTGACGTTTTACAGCAACGCAAAGGAAACTTGGTATCCCACTGCCAAAGGTATTAATAATAATAATAATAATAATAATAATAATAATAATAATAATAATAATAATAATAATAATAATAATAATAATAATAATAATAATAATAATATTCATCATATGTCAGCAATAAAGAAAGCCATTGTGAAGTATAATAGTAAGCGAGTGAGTTAGTAAAAAATAAATATTTAAAATGTAAAGAGATAACGCGTTCAGAGGGTAATGCCACAGAATTATTTATTTTTCCGCCATGATGCCTTCGGTTAGATGTTCGCATGAAAACTCTACTTTCTGGTTGGTCAAAACATTCACACGGCAGATAAATTCACGCCGCCCTATTGAGTAGATACTGCGCGAGTGCTCATGTGAGCAAAGGTCTGCCTGACAAGAACCAACCAAGACTTTCATTTTTTTTGCCCTCAACTAATAAAATTAAAGAGCTCTCTACTGCGGCTTATATTGATGCATGAAAACAACTTTTGAAAATCATGATTGGAGTGAAAGGGGCAGAGGAAGGTCTATTTCCATTCGTTCTTTAGGATCAGGATCGGACAAACCGTGACCTCTCTCAATATTGTTCTTCGATACCGCCGCTAACCACTCTAATGAACCGATAATATATGGATCAAGTACCATATTCGACATGTTCAAGTTCAAAAAGTTGTAGCAGAGAAGGGGGCCCTCGGGTGACGCGACCATCCGGTTCAGCTCAAGATACATAGTCATTCGGGGCGAAATCCGCTCCCACATTTCACTATTCTCAGTCCAGAGTACGAAAACTATTGGTTGTTTGACCTTGGGAAAGCATGAAAGGAACCTCACCAAACGTTCACGTTCGGAAAGCCAGTATTGGCGACTAAGGGAAAAATAATAACAATGATAAGAGAAATAAATAAACCATCAGAAAAGGTGCGGATGTAATTAATATTTATAAGCGCCAGTACCACTCACAATCCTTAACGTCCATTACTTACATTGCACTTTCATCAAAAGTGTCGCACACTGCAAATGGTATTTTCGAAAACTCAAATATGAATGCCGCTGTTTCAGATATCGCTTGCTCAGAGAGTCCCAATAAACTTCCCACAGATTGATCTTCAATTCCACAAACAACAACATTCATTGTCTTCTCACTCTTTGGATTCTGACCATGATGGATCGCATTCATGACGCCAGACCTCTGCTGTACTCGGGTATGTCGGCCCATGTCAATACCTAGCTTTGTTAAAAGCCATTTTGAGCTCATCTCTTTGAACGTGGGTGTATTCACAAACAGTCTCCATTGTTGCTCCGTCCTCGCCTCCCCTACTTTGGGGACGCCCGTTAATGATTGACTTTGTTGCTGTAACTGCTGCAGTTGGGCGCACGTTGAAGGGGAGTAGTGGGAACAGCTTGATACAATGTCTAGAACAGGCAAGGGCGCCCACATCTCTCTCTTTGGCTCCATAACCTTTTTCAGTCTCGCCATTAATACCGAATCCGTATTTGGTTCAGTATCAATACCCAAAAGTCGTTTCCGTTTCTTCGCCATAGAGCTGATAAGGCTGTTGGTTAAATCTTCTGAATCTTCCGATGTAAGGTCTGGATGTAGCAATTTCTGCTTGGCACTATAGTTTCGAATTTTGGTCGCCAGAGGATGTCCATCTAATAAGCCAGCTCGACTGTCCATTGCTCGGACATTAGCCAGAAAATGCTCCTGACGCTTCCGAAGCTCTTCTGCTCGTCTACGTGACTTCGTTGTAAATTCTTTCCAACGCGAGATTACCCAGCGTTGCAACTTTGTTTCTCGATAAAGCTCCGCCAGGATATCCTCCGTGATACTACCAGTGACCTGATTCATTACATTCACTATCAACCACTCTGAAACTTGAGATATGGTCATCTCCCGCTCTTTCGCTCGCTGTAATGACCGTTCTACAACTAGTCCTTGCAACACCTGGGCTACTATCAGATGAAGGATGCGATCCGTCTCCTGCTCGAGGAGCTCAGTCGTAAATGATTCAATCATTGATCTTGGATAGGCTTTGCCTCGTTTGGTCACAAGTTTTGTCGCATCAGACTGCAATGGCGATTTTATAGACGGATTTAATGGTTTTGAGGTCGGCGGCTCTATTGGAAAGACAAGCTGAGGTTTTGAGGGCGGCGGCGGCTCTATTGAAAAGACAGACTGAGGTTTTATTGGGGTAATGAGTGACGGTTGCGGTTGTGCGGCCGATGTTCCTTGGCTCACGCCCACAGAAGCAAGTACATTTGCATTGGTGAAGCTGAATGGTTGTTGAACTGAGCTTGGTACTGTTGGGGCCGAGAATGGTAGTGTTGGAGCCGAGAATGGTAGTGTTGGGGCCGAGAATGGGGCAATTGTCTGTGTAGATGAAGCGGGTGCCATTATTGCACTTTGACGAGTTTTAATAGATTCAGTCGCCTCTGAGCTCGCAATCGGTTGTGAGCGATTTAAGCCTGCTGCTGCTGCTGCTGCTGCTGCTGTTGATCCTGTAGATTGGTTTAATCCGAAATCGAAAACGACTGTTGGTTTGGAAGTAGCAGTCTGTCCCATTGACTTCATGGCTGTAAATGTTGAGGATCCAGATGTAAACACACCTAATGACGTGGCATTTGATCTTGATGTACCAAGTCGTGAGTCAAAACTTGTGGGGAGCTGACCCCGAGCTAAATTAGTTATTTCTTGTGGTCTTTTTGCCGGTGGCGCCACTGACTGTGGGTTAGTTACATTTACACCATATCGCTGCGGTCCTGGAGCCTCGCCATAAATGATTTGTAGTGTTGAATAATTCTGACGCTTGGCCTCAACAACTCTTTCATTCCTATGTTGTTTAATCTTGATTGTAGCCTCTGTAAGGAAATAATGTGGCGGTCAAATGATGGTGTTAAAATTCTTTAAAACTGACCACAATTGAGCGCCTATTCTATATGTAATTCTAGCGCGTATTGTTTAAAAAGAATACCTTTAAATATGCGACGACGCGTTGTGTTATCTTTTCTCCCAAATACAACAGCCGGTTGACCATAATGTGTGAGTGCAAGGTCGTATTCTTCACAATTAGCAATACACTCCTGTTCATCATCGAACGCCAAAATGTTAACTAGATCCTTGACGGGGAATCCATCGTGCTGATCATAATATGATTTGTTTAGTGCCTTAAGTGCCCCTTTTCGGATTTCTCCAAAGTTTGTTTCGAGTAGACAGGCCATCAGATATGATGTTTTTGGTCCCGCTATCATTTTGAAAAATCGACTGAAGAAGTTGGGTGATGCCTCGGATTGAACTTTTGCGCGCCGTCTAACATCGTTATTTCTCCGACTCAACGCGTGCATCTCAACAGCATTTTGGATATAGGGGTCCATGAATATATGTGGTGGAAGTAATTGAGCCTGTCGAATCATATCGGGATCGCTCAAATGACTAAGAATATGATACGCTCGGAATTCGGCCTCGTTTGGGCAGGGTATATTTTCAGTCCGCATGTCGTTATAAAACTCTTGCAAACTAGTCAAGACTGTATAAAATATTTTTAGGCTTTGACGATTAGTTATCTGAAGAGATGACTTAATTAATAGCATGTGAGAATAAAACCAAGTATTCATACCTTTTCGCAGTTGCTCCATCTCCTGTTGTTCACTAAAGCCTTTATTTTCACATAGTTGATGCATGCAGAGAATATGATATCGAGCAATGATCTCATGAGCTTGCACAGCTTCAACACCACGACTGTTTTGAAGTGTAAAATCCTGTCTAATGGATCGAGTTCTATCACGGACGAACGCATGAGAATCTGACAGATCACCTTGTGCTACGATTTTAGTCATCAAGTAGTCCAACGTTGACTGGTAATCCAATTATTTTTTTTTTAAAAAAAAAAAAAAAAAAAAAAAAAATGGAATAGAATATACAAGGATATGAATATATGTTAGTGGGATAAGTAATTAAAAGCTAATAGATATATTATGCTCAAACAGTCCTAATTTAGTTACCAGTAAAACATCGGGTGGGCGAACATCAGATGGCAATGGTTGTTCAACTCCAGCAGCCGGTCTAGCATAGGCTTTAACAGCTCGCGAATGATCGATGTATTCTGTTCCAGGGATCTGGAAAAATAACGATGGTAATTTTTGTATATGACTTAGTCTCTATCTTCAAATACTAGGTCAAGTTGAAATAAAGTTCGAGAGTCCGTACATACCGTTTCAAACTTTTCGATATTCTTCTGATACTCGCGCTCATGGCGCTCGAATTCAGGGCACATATCTCTGCAAGTCCCCACAAACGTAATCGCATCTTTCAAGTGTCCACGTTTGTTGGGGTCAGGAATATCTCCTCTCTTGATAGCATCTTCACGCTCCTTCACTCGCTCCTCTTTGAACTGCGCTCATGTGTCCATGTTCAATTTTTTTTTTTTTTTTTTTTTTTTTTGATTGGCGTTGTCAATGGAGCATTAGAATGTCAATTGCGATGGCAAGTTTGACAAAATATTATGTTAGTCATGTATCAATACGAATGATGGAATATAAAAGCATTAAGGGTCTTTTTTTTTTTTTTTTTTTTTTTTTTTTTTCTTTCTTTTTAATAATAGATTTGTGTCCTAACACATTCATCTCCATGCTACTAACCTCTTCATAGCGATTCCCAACAGGTACTGCACTAAAACGAGCCAAGCGGCTATCTGCATCCTCGGAAGCATCCAAGCCCTGTAAACGAGATGAGGAGTCAACAGCACCTGATAGTCTTGATGAATTTAAACTATTATCATGAGCAGGACTCCGAGCACCAATAGCGTCATGGTTGCGTTTCTCTTTTGCTTGTACGCCAAATCCTGTGGACGATAAGGGAGTCGAAGACAATGCACCAAAGGCGCTTTGTGTGGACATGGACCCAGATGGAATGTATGTCTTGTTGGCGCTTCCCCTGTGGCTACCACTACCTCCTCGGCCACCCCCTCGGTCACCTCGAGGATGACTACCATTACCCCGACCCCGGCCTCGGCCGCCTCGTTGTGACATCGTGCTGCCGCCGATGACATTTCCTGTGGCATCGAATACTGCTGTCCGGTTGATATTTACATTATTGATGCTGCTTCTGTTACCATGATAACTACTATTGTCAAATGCAGAAACGCCAAATACACCTTGATTATTGCCATTGCCGCCGCTATTATTATTGTTTATACTATTATTAAATCCCAATTGGTTGCTGGCAGCTCCTTGACTAAAAACGTTCCCGTTACCGGCGCCATTGAAGTTACGGGTACTATTAAAGGCGTTTCCTTGTATCCCAAACACCCCTGTTCCTGCTCCTTGGCTTGCAAAGGCACTTGCGAAGCCATTTGAGTTCATTTTTTTTTTTTTTTTTCCTTTCCTTTAGTTATGGGATTTTGCCACAATGAACTAAATTAATCGATTGATTAACTTTCTGAACAGAATAAAATGATGTTTGGCATGATGACAAACAAACGAGCAGGAAAAATCAAGTTAATACCTTGGGGTGATTTGAGTTTAACAGGTTAAAGTAGTTTAGGTCGTTTGATCAGTGATGGGGGAGGAGAAAGGATTAGTTTTTTGTTAAAAAGTTGATATGGAAGAATATTGCTCTGCTTTCATAAGTACAGAATTTAGAAATACAAGAGTGCTGAAGTCATTAATGGAACGGAGGTAATTAAATTAATGAATGGGATTTTGTTGGCACATCTTACGCGCGTGAGATTAAGTTAAGGAAGTGGTGGCTTGTACATGTAGGAAGACATGGTATATATTTTTTAAGACACCTGTGTTTTTATTAATCTAGTGCAAAATTGGATGATATCACCAAGATTGGCTTTATCGTACATTGACCAAAAATTGTTCGCGTGTGGCTCTCCAGCAAAGGCTGGACCGCGTTTCTACGTTGAAAACAAACAGAAGGAAAAAAAAAAAAAAAAAAAAAAATATTAGCTTCAGTAAACCAAGACAGAGAAGGACACTTCATCGATATATTTTAATCAATACCTGTAATAACATGCTGCGAAGGCTCCTCGTATAGTGACCGCATCCTTGCAGCTTCTTCGTCCACTGTATCGTTTTCGCCATGGCCAATGATTACAAGCCCATCGTAGTCTTCCTCCTCCTCCTCGTCCTGCTCTTCATCCGAATTGTCGGCTGGTCCTAAAGTATGGTTACTTGTACTAGCCATTAATAGTTGCCCATCAGGTCCCATGACACCATGATCCAGGCTTCCTTGCGCAATGGGACTCTGCACAAGTGTTGTGTTTAACAGCAATCCATCACCATCACCAGCCGCCGCCGCCGCCGCTGCTGCTGCTGCTGCTGCTGCCGCAGAACCGACATTATTAACTTTTTTCCTCCGTCTCGCTTTCAGGGCCTTGATTGGTTCCAGAGAGTTCATTTCCCTACGACGCTGAATCTGTTTCCTCAAAAATTCACGGACCCGTCGTCCATGCGCTTCTGAGCGTGCCATCTCAATTTCCTTCATTGTCAACTCATCTCCAATCCAATCCCAGAGTACCCGTAAACATGTCTCGTTGCCGATCCTGGCAGCGAGGAGCATTGCATTCATGGGTCCACCTTCATCGAATGTCTGATAGGGGTCTGCGCCATGATCCAGCATCCAATCCAAAAGATCTTCTTGATCTTTTTGATCAGGTCGCTCGATTGCATCATGAAGAGGAGATCGCCCCATGTTACCTTTGGCATTGATGTCCGCTCCATGTTTGAGCAATGTTTCAAGTGCGGGTATAGGCTTTTTCTGGCAGCTGACAGCGATATGGAGAGCAGTATTGCCTTTTGAATCCTTATCGAAACATCCCCGCGGATTGTGCTTGAGGATCAGATTTAAAACCTCTACTGGGTCCTGATTATGCTCTGCCACGTGAAAAATAGATTGTGCAGTCAACACAGCACCCTTTGAGAGCAAAAGCGTCATCGACGGGACAGGATCAGGGCAATACCGCGTCAACAGGTCCATACATGTCCAATCGCTTCCTGTCTTTTTCGCAAAGTCCGCACCAGCATCTAGCAATAACTGGATACATTCATAGGGTTCAGGGTTGTATCTGACCAGAGAATGAAGCACTGTCCAATCCTTGTGTCCGATAGCAGTGGCATCCGCTCCATGACTCAATAAAAGCTTGAATAATTCCAAGGGTTGGGTGTTAGCGCGCGCCACGAGATGTAGAGAAGTCCAATCACTCTTTGTCTTGGCATTCACATCTGCTCCAGCCTCAATCAGCAAACGCATGCTTTCCAGTGGGTCTGAACAATAATTGGCCAAAAAGTGCAGGATACTCCAGCCATCCTGGGTCGTCACTTTAGGATCTGCACCACATTGTAATAAGAACCGAATCGACTCTAGTGGTTGAGGGGTGCAACGCGCCACACTGTGTAGGACGGACCAACCATTCTTTCCAACCGCATTCACATCCGCACCATACTCGACCAAGATCTTGAGTGCCTCTAGTGGATCTTCATTCGAGTTGGCTAATAGGTGTGTAGGAGACCAACCATCTGCTGTTTTGTCATGTACTGTTGCTCCGGCTTCCAGGAGCAGCCTCAGCGCAGCCATTGGTTTCTTATTACTATAGACCAAAAAGTGTAGCGTTGTCCATTCTTTCTTTCCTTGCTTGTTGACATCAACACCAGCTTTCAGCAGCACCTTAATCGACTCGTAGGACTCGTACGGATCCTGACAGTGTTTTGCCAAGGAATGAAGAGCTGTTGCATGTCCAGCCTTGAGTACATTCACATCGACTCCTGCGTTGACTAACAACTTGATGCCCTCTAATGGTGTCTTGTTATAGCGGACCAGACAATGTAGCACGCTCCATCCTTCTGCACCAATCACATTCACATCTGCGCCCTTCTCCAACAGATATGCGAGTGCTTCAACTGGCTCCGGGTTGTCTTTGGCTGTATAATGAAGTGCTGTCCATTGCTTGATCGTCTTTGCATTCACATCGACTCCATGTTCCACGACCAATTTAATAGTCTTGAGCATATCCTTGCTTGCTCTAGAGTATTCGCCCCTGAATATACACCTTGCCAAAGCATGTAAAACTGTGCATTGCTCATCCGTCTGTGAATGAACTGAAACTCCATGGTCGATGAGGTATTTAATGCAGTCATGAGGGTCTGCATTATAACGAGCAAATGTGTGCATTACGCTCCATCCATGGACACTGATGGCTTTGACATCCGCCCCAAGTGATACCAACAGCTTCATAGCCTCAAGACATCCGGGTCGATACGAATGAGCGAGCGTATGGAGGACAGAAAGTCCTCTCTCGGTTGCATAGTTAACGTCTGCGCCGTGCTGTACAAGTAACTTGATTGACTCTAATGCCTGTGGTTGTTCTTGAACAAGTACATGTAGCGGTGTAGCGCCATCGGTTCGAAGGGCCATGGGATCATAATCTTCATGCAAAAGAATATCAATCATATTCCACAAGATTGAGGGGTCATCGTGAATGACGTATTGGCAAGCTAGATGAAGATATGTTTGTCCTTGCCCCAAGGTCTTGTCACGCATAAGCTGGCCTGGCCGAGCGAAAAGAGCAAACTCTGCTGATAGAGGAAATGTTGAAGCTGAGCCTTGCTGTCTATATGCTGCTGTAATGGATGTTGCTATGAGTGAAAATGGATGTCCGGAATTGTCAATGTGGACTCTTTTATAACCATTACTGCTCTGATGAATCTGGTTGCTCTGTGTTATGGTGGTCGCCTTTTGAATACGGAATTTGATAGGCTTAGTATCCCATGACATTGATGTAGTAGGTGCAGAGGTCACTGGTGTACCAGCAATTTGTGCTGCAAGGCGAGACCGCCTACGCATGGCGAGAATGAAGGCGACTGCATGATAATCTCCAGTTCGGACAGAAATCTCCATTGTCTGCGGAGGTGGGTTTTCAACGGAGTAAGGCCCAAAGCGAGCCTTGAGCCACTCCAGAGCTTCGTCGTCTGAAGGTTCCGCAAGTGAATGAAGTTGATTATAGGGCTCTTTTGCCATGATTAAGTGATGGGGGAATATTTAGATCCTGTAATGGAAAAATGGTAAAGATGAGGTTGTGGGAGGGGAAATACTAATTTGAATGTCAGTCTGAAATGTTGCTTGCGTAAAGGGAATTCGACGAAACGGATGAAGAAAAGTGACAACAAAACTCAAGGATGAGACAATGGACGGACCTTTAAAAAAAAAAAGACACTCGCCATCCAAATTTTACTTTGGCTGGCTGCTATGCATAAATGAATGCGTCGTGATGATAGGATAATTCAAGTTTCAGTCGCTGCTTTCCTCCAGTTCTCAAATCACTGTTGTATCTCTTTTGTAGAAAGAACACTTTGAGCAACACGACTCGTTCATCGGCGCTAGACTTTCTCCCAACGGAAACTGGCTGGCCTTCCCCTTATGTATCTTACTTTCTAATAGATCTCACCTCCCAGATTGCCAACAAGACAGTCGACAATAATCGTAAACTCGACAGGTTTTGTCCATTCTATGTAAAAATGATCTCAGCATCTTGTAAACGCTTTCTTTTTGCTTGCTTTCCCTCAAAAGTTGGAAGATATGAACTTGAATACTATGGACAGAGGACTCTTGCCCTTCACATCCTTGATGAAATCATTTAGCATAGACGAGGTTTTATTAACAGGATAAGCTCTCCTAAAATGCAGGGTTGATCTCGGTCAGTCTCTAAGATGAAGATCTTTTAAAGTATTGTATCCTCGTCCTCTTTGATCCGAATATTACATACTTTTGTCAAGGGTGATTCTATAATCGCAGTCAAAAAGGAGGGAGAGTGTCTGAAAGAAGGAAGGTGAGCGATATCAGTTGATGCGCTAGAAGTAAGAAACAGAAATTGCTCCTTACCCAACTTCTACTTTCAAGGGCCAAAATAAAATTTGAAGTTAAACCACCCCTGTACGTCCAAAAGCCACGTTTTACATGCTCAGTGTATCCCTGGTATATATATATATAAATGTTGTCCGTATCCCTAACAGTTCAATTTGTGGAATGTGAGAATACTCTCATTCAGAGAATCGTGGAACTTACTAATCGTAAGCATGCTAGGCCACCCCAATATGATGTAGTAAAAGATAAAAATAAAAAGAAGCTTAGCATAATATCTCCTTCTGTTTTACTTTAGAGATGGAGAGGTTTGTGTTACGATGAAGGTCTTTTAGTCTCTTGGTCATTAGTTGTGAAATCTCCGGATCTCTAACTGGTTCTCCCGGGTCTGGCCTGGATATGACCTCCTTGCATGTTACAAAAATAAACTCTGCTGAGCCTGAAAACCACTTGGTAGATTGCTTAGATAACAGGGGCCATTATACTTTTTTTTTTTTTTTTTTTACTATTGTAAATGTGGAACTGTATATATATACTATAGTTTGTCTGTATACACTAGTCTCCCCAAACTCCAGAACATCTAATTATTCCAATAGAAAGCTTTCTAGAATGAACCACAAAAAGACGTTGAAACGGTTGAAGAGCTGTTTAATTGGAGAAAACTTTAAACGCGTATAGCTACCAACTATAGAAGGGGTCCATACTCTTGTATGTCTACAAAAGTTGTGCCGAAAACCTCTGTAATGACCATAAGGTGGCCCCCAAGTTCACCAATGAGTCCCTTTTTTTGTATACTGACTCACTGCTTGCCGTTATTTTAGTCGATTTAGGAGACGTGGTTTTTCATGGTGGGCAAAATTCGTTATATATCAATGATCTAGTGTTATTCCAGTCATTCTTGAAAATAGAGTCATTTTTGAAGTAAGTTCAGGCCCCAGAGAGATTGAGCCCAAAAAAAAAAAAAAAAAAAAAGGGGGACCTCATAGTAGCTTGCATGTTCTTGCCTACATCAGCTGGTGTGCAAGTCTTTTTCTTTATCCATTTTTTCCCATACGTACCCTTGGCTAGGGTGCCGTCACTGGTAGGTCACTTTTACCTCTCGATCTCCAGGTCCACGTTGGTCTCCCACTCCTTGGTCTTCTCCTTCTCCTCTACGTATTCTCCATGAAGGGTTTCTATTTATACAAGGTCCAGTTGACTAGAGGAAGTGACTATTTCATTTTAAGGGGATAGAGTTCGACTTGGTGGTTCTATGCAATGCACGATCTTGCAAGAAAAATTACTTGAGCATGCTTTTACTAATACATGTTCCCCAAGTACAGTACAGGCACAAGCAACTTCAAGCCGATGGAAGAATAATATCAAACCTGGATTGTACACGTGGGGTACCATCTGTAGGAGTGCATTGCAGATATGTGGTTGTCTCTCCTTGTAGCCTTTTTTTTTTTTTTTTTTTTGACGCTTTCCATCATGTCATCCTCAAGCCCTTCCGCTGGAACAATCTTTATCATTGGCCTCAGTCCCTATACTAAGTTTATTAGATTATTAGATGTTCCCTTCTCCGTTGTCACAAGGTGTCTCCTTAGCATCTTTTTTTTTTTTTTTTTTTTTTTTTTTGCTTTTTTTCGCTCAATGTTACATACTATATAGCTTTGTATGACCAGATGTAAACATGAGTAATGGATAGAGTGCATTGTCCCTTGTTCATTTATTTGGACGATTTATTAACCATATCTTCTAGTGTCTTCTGTGAGAGGTTTGGCGTTCATAGTATCTTAGTAACGGAACAGAATGTACTGTATAAAAATACTAATGATTGAAGCTTTGACGCTTCGGAATCGGTCTACACTACTAATATAAAATAGGCTATACCCCACCCCACCTACCGTTAAGAGACGTGCGTTAGCCATTTTAACACATTAAAGGTTGTTCACAACAAACGGTAGGAGAAAGGATATGGAATAAAACGTCCTACGATATGATCACGCGATCCGGACCCAAGTGAGCCTCTCGTCAGCGGCACGTGGATTTTACCTTTTTTTATTATTATTATTATTATTATTATTATTATTATTATTATAGGTAAGCTTCTCACTAATTTCTTTGAGAGCATACTTGTTATCCCAAAAATACAACTTCCATGTTTTGTTTATATAAATATATTTGAATTTATAAAGCCAAGGTGAGCCAGGGAACAGAGTTTTTTTTTTTGTCAATCATTTGAGCTCCATCAAGCTGTGTTGGGAGGGGGAGAAAGGGAAGAGCTCGAACTAAAAGAGCGCGGGCTAGTTGTAGATAGATAGATATATATACATATAAGCATTTTCATATATAAAAATATGTTGGATAAAACAACGTCCTTGGCAGAGAGCAAAAAAGAACTCTCAGAGAAGATCTTTCAAGATCCATGTCCTAAAAAAAAAAAAAAAAAAAAATGTACATGTACGAGAGCACGAGGTTTGAGCGTTATTATTGCATGCATAAATGGATAAACTATCCCAAAAAAAAAAAAAAAAAAAAAAAAAAAAATAGCCATCGAGATCTAGAACCTAACGGCAATGCTAGATATTAGTAAGGACCAAAGACAAAACAAACAATAAAAGGTAGATGTGCCCCCCCCCCCCCCCCCCCCCCTTTCATTCTTCACATATTCAGAGTCAAATGTATAGATTATATATATGATAGACTAGCATTTCTGGGTACTTTTTAGGTGATACGAATGGCCTCTCGTTTACTCGTCCAGGGTATTTCTCTTTTGAGAGATGAATGTGGATAAATAGCACCCTGTACTGTACAACCGAAGAATCCGAGGTTTATACTAATCAATTATATTTAGAAACATAATGGTGAGGATGTACAGAAGAACATGTATGACAATTCGAATTATGTGAGCGAAGAAGAGAGCTACAAGCGACAACGGAGGGTTTATTTTATTTTATTATTATTATTTTTTTTTTTTTGGCGGCAAATTCCGTTAATTGTTTTATTATTGTGGCAAAGAAGTCTCATCTCAATCTTTGTTGTTTATACTGGTTCTGCTCATCAAAAAAAAAAAAAAAAAACGAAAACAAAAACAAAAACAAAAAAAGCATGATCAACACAAAATGAACCACGCACGCTCCCCCTCTTCTCCCCCCCCTTTTTTTTTTTTTTTTTTTCCACTCCTTTTATTTGGTACGAAGCTTGGGGCATTGCCTTGGTTGAAACGCGTAATAGACTAATAGACATTGGATACGACACCAAGATGCAATCCCCTTTGGGTCCAAACTTGTCAATTAGATAAAGACAAGTATATAACATGGTGCCTTGCTGTGCAGAAAAACATCCTTGTAGTCCATGTTGACAAGAGACTCGAATAAGGGGAGGAGGAGGAGAAGAAGAAGTGAGGAAGACGATAACGATGATTTTTTGTTTTTGTCGTCCATCTTTGTCTCCGTGCCGCTGGGCGGTTTTTTTTAGTGTATTTTTTTTTTTTTTTTTTTTTTTTTTAATCTTTCAATTGTAATTGATCCAACGGTGCTTGATTTTGACTTTATAGTTTGTCCTTTTTTTTAATACTCCGCCATTGAATTGTTTGTATAGAGATATGGTGTTTTATATATTTGCGCAAATGCAAATGATAATCAATGTTTATTGGATGCACACAATGTGTGATGATGGGTTGTATTAATTGTAAAATGCCTTTTTGTCATATTCCGACCTCTTTTTGCTGTTTTTGGCTGTGGCGATGGAAGGGATGACCATTGTAGACATTGTAGACATTGTAGACATTGTAGACATTGTAGATCATGAATGATGTATGGGTTCATGGGTCATAAATCATGGCCACAACATGGCGCATGTCACTTACTGGAGAAATCAAAAAAAAAAAAAAAAAAAAAAAAAAGTTCCACTACACTGCAGGAAGTGACATGGCGCAGCAGAGCCAAGTGTTAACATCCAACTGATGAATATTATAACATCAGAACTGTTGAATTACACATGGGCTGTTCTAATATCGATGCTTGATCATGATTAGACCGACCATCCGTGTGTAATGTTCAAGAAAGAGGAGCTTCTTTCCCAATCACAGCCAACAAGTAAAAGTGAGTCTCTCTTTTTCTTTCTCATTCCTTCATTCCTTCATTCCTTCATTCGCATTCCTTCATTCGCATTCCTTCCTTCACTCTGCAACTCTTTTCTTCTCTCTTTCCTTTTGGATGATAATGAATACAACAGGTGCAGACAAAAAGTTAAAAAGTTACTAATCTGTTGAGGTAATCCATTTTTACTTTTTCAAAGATCCTATGTATCCACACAACACTCACGATATAAATATGTATAATATTATATATATATAAATATATGAGGATGAATATACATCCTATAGTTTGGGTAACATAGTCTAAAAGGTCCTTCTTGTTATATTTGTATATATATATATATAAATATAAATATAAATATTATTTATTTATTTTAATTTTATTTTTTTTTCTTTTTCAATGATACATGTATATATATATATATATATATATACATATACAGCATCCTCTTGCATCACAGCATCATATCCATCGCCCCCAGTCCATGGTCCCCCACCTCCTAAGTGTCCTTTTAAAAAAAGCTTTTTCAAACGGAAACATCGACCTTGCATCGATTGGGACAGGATCCAGTCTCCCAAGACACTGAAATAGATTTATTATTGTTAACCTCTCCCCCTCTCTCTGTCTCTTTCTTTCACCTTTTTACTCCTACCCCTGTGCAAACCCGTACAAACGCAAACAAAAACCCTCTTTGTTGTTTATCTTGACCCCCTTTTCTCTTTGTTACTTACTGCCTGGAATAGTATCCATTGTACATGTATATACATGGATAACTAACTGCATTTATACATTCTACCTCTGGACTAGAGACTAAGAGACTTTTAGTATTCAATCAATAACCATTCTCATTTTATTATATTATATATATATATAATTTATTCAAAGCAATAGCAATAGCAATAGCAATAGTAATAGTATATAATAGTAATAATAATAATAATAATAGTAATAATAATAATAATAATAACAAGGCTATCTAGTAAGAGAGAGAGAGTAATGGCGATATATATATAATAAAAAAAAAAGTTAACTATCCGCAACCCTATTCTACGGGTATATAATATATTCTCTCTTCTCCTCTTTTTTCTTTTTTTTTTTTTTTTTTTTTTTTTTTTTTCTTTCTTTTTCTTCTTCTTTGCTTCATTGTCCACTCACACTGTCACCACAAACTTCATTGCCCATTTCCCATCCCCTCTTACCCATACCCATCTCCATCCCTCCGACCCGCAATCTTTTTTGTCCCACCCATTTACTCACATTCCCATTCCCATCTCTTACCCCGCTCAACCTATTTTGTTATTTCCCCTGTCCTTTCTACTCAATCCTGTATACCCTTCTTCCTCCTTTCCCTTTTCTTCTTCTTCTTTTTCTTCTTCCTCTTCTTTCTCTTCTTCCTCCTATTCTTCATCCTTTTTTTTCTTTTTCTTTCACTCCTAATCCCTAATTCTCCCATTCTTTAATTCCTTTAACCCTAAAAGATTTTCCCTTTTCACTCTCTCTCTCTCTCTCAACGCTCTTTTATAATTTTTTTTTTTTCCTTCGCCTTCACAAACAAACTTTCATACTTTGGTGTGCTCTCTTGTTTTTATTTCTTTATTTGTACATCACTCAACTGGTAAGCATGACAGTTACAAAAAAAAAAAAAAAAAAAAAAGCTCATTCGGGTTCTCATCCAGGTCATTGTTCCATCTGAATTGTGAGCCTTCCTTCCCTCCCTCTCCCCTCCCTTCCTCCTTCCTTGTACTTCCTACTTTCTTTACTCTTGCAATTACTCGTATCTTGAACACTTGTTTATAAATGATGTTTCTGTTTATAATATACATGTATACCACGGAGGGATGAGGAAGTGAGAGACATTTGTTGTTTATCCAATATTCATCAATAACAACAATCATTACAATAATATTGGTAGTACCAATGACGATATTAACAATAACAAAAAAAAAAAAAAAACCAAAACCAAAACCAATGAATGGGATGTGGTGAGGAAAAGTAGAGATGGAAGGGATGGATAGATTTGCACGCGCAGTAGTGCAGAACAGAAGAAAAGGGTCATCAGCCATGTTTAGGTTTTTGTTAGCTATACGCCGCACACAAAAAAAAAAATTGTGACCAGTTGGGGACCTAATCAATCAACCGAAAGTGTGAGAAAGAGAACACGAGGGGGGCGCTTGGTTATGGATGATATGATACAAGGGTATCAGTGGTGCATTTGGATTGCCACCATACTGTCCCATAACATAACAAGCAGGTGTGCAGATGTGTATATATGTAGATAATAACAATAATCAAACATTTACAAACATACAAACATACAAACAAACAAAAAAAAAAAAAAAAAAAAAAAAGATCGTTGGAGAGTAACGAATCGAATCATTTTACTGGGGCTAGGTTAGACAGGTCTGGCCTGGCATGGGAGAAAGACATTGAGAGAGGAGACATGCTTATTGTGTCGGTGTTTATACTTTTTACTTTAGTTTACTTTTATTTGTCTTATTCTTCTTTTGCCTCTTCCAATTGGACACCTTTCTTGTTAATTTCGAGGAAAAAAAAAAAAAAAAAAAAAAATCAGGAACGGTGCTTTTTGGACGGTTGCATGTTTATTGCATACAGATTGCATGTACGCTTATGTTTATTTTTATCCGCCCTCATCTTGAATTTCACCTCTGAGAGATATTAATCTCTCTCTCTCTCATTCTCTAATTCATCCATCCCACCGTCTCTCCCTTTTTTTTTCTCTTTTCCTTTTTCCTTTTCGTTTTCGTTTTTTCTTTTTCGTTTTCGCATCGCATGTTTGTTGTTTCTATAATGTGTAATTTGTCTATGTGTGTTGACTGTTACAACGTGTTTGTCTAAATGACAAACAGAGCAGGGAACAGGGGAGGAAGGGCAGTAAAGAAAAGGATAGGAAGGAAAATAGTCTAGAGAGAGAGAGAGAGAGATTGCGAGAAAAAAAAAAGGAGCAGAGGCGTTGAACATGGTCCATGGTCCTATAGGGAGCTGTGTTGTATTGAAATACATTCAATTGAAATTTATTATACATCTTTTTACGATGTGACATGTACTTTTGAGAAAGTGTGACCAAGTTCAGAAAGTCGATTTTGATTTAAAATGCCTTTTTTAAATTTTATTTTATTTTCTGGTTGCACACACACATGGCCCACAGATGCAAATCCATTGCTCTGTTTTATTGCTCCAGAACCATAATAATTGCCCTACAACCAAATCCCATTACACTCTGCATCTTGCATCTTGTCTTACTATCTTCACCACTAATGGCATCATGTCGCACATCATCCCCCCTTCCTTCGTGCACAAACAACACCTCCACCATGGCTCCCCCATCCCTTACTCTATAATTTATCATACTGCCATCTTGGCCACATGCTCACTGTACAGCAACTCTGATAAAAAAAATTTATTACTATTATTTATTTTTTATTTTTTATTTTTTATTTCTTATTTCTTATTTTTTATTTTAAAACCCCCAAAAAGCGCTTTGCTTTTTTTAATAAACTTATTTACTAACCAAAAGTTCATCTATTTTCGTCCTTCTTCATAGAGAGCCTGCTCCCCTCTCTCTGGTTAGGTTATCTTCCTTATTCCTTATTCATTCATCTCTTAAAACCAACTACAAAAGAAAAACTTCTTTTTCTTTTTCTTTTTTTCCTTTTCCTTTTTTTCATAACAATTCATTCTCGCTCTTCTTGCAAAGAAAAGAAAAACAAAACAAACAAACAAACATCCTTCAAGTTTCTTAAACAAAGAAGGAAAAATATAATAACCGTGTCCAAGCAAGCAAGCAAATGTCCTTCGGCACTACCTATCTGACCCCGACCTCTATTAACCGAGATATTGACTTTGTAAACGGACCTCGCCAGAACTCTCAACAACGTACATATCCCGAGGAAATGTTTCTTGCACCCAAGCTCGAGTCCGACTCTAGGGGAGAGTTTTATGTAGATGAGAACAACAGGGATCTAACCTCTTCAGAGTCTTCTGGAGCATACATGGTCGATCATCACGCAGCTACAGGCCCTGGTGGAATCAAACAGCCACGGGACCGAATGAGACTCAACAGGATCCTCAATGGCTCATCATCCTCTTCCCAAGAAGATGGCATGTATCAACAACAACAACAACAACAACAACAACAACAGCCACATCATCCCACAGACCCCAATGAACACCAATACAGCAATTACCCATACCAGGATAACTCACAACAACAACAACAACAGCAACAACAACAACAGTTCCAGTCGTTTCAACCCTCTGTTGGAACCATGCCCGTATCTTCGTTCCCTTCACCCATGCCTGTGCCAGTCGCGACCCTCCCTACGTTAGCTACCATGTCCTCCTCCATGTCACCGTCCACCTCATTCTCAACCATGAGCCAGCCCAACTTGATCTTTGATAATGTCATGCCATACCCCTACAATGGCTCTCCCTATCAAAGTCAGGCCTATCCCTTCAAGCATGCTGGTAATGCGAAATCGATGGACCCCTCCACCTTTGCGGATTCCAACCAAGGTTACTCTCCTCAACCCCAACATTACCAACATAGCCCCGATCCCTCCAATGGCTCTCCCTCTGTCCTGTCCGCATTCCCTCCACGTATGAACCCCGAGCATGGTGGTGCCCCAGATTCACCGCCTTCGTCCTTTTACCATGGCCAGCACCAAGCACCGTCCCCATACAGCATTGGATCACACAGCCCCACATCCAATGGTTCTTATCCACCAGCATATGTGACCACAGGTACTCCAGGGTACAGTTCCTTGACCCCTACTCCCCCCGCAACACCCCATTACGGTTTCTCCCACACACCCGATGGTCGCTATACTGGTGCATCCGTACCTGTCTATGGTGACTACTTTACGCTGCAGTCACAACAATCACCCGCTGGTGGACCCCGTGCGACGGCCAACGGCCGGTACCTTGGCTCACCCTCCACACCTCCTACACCCACACCCTCCACCCGTACTCGCAAGACCCCATACCAGCCCCGTGCAGCCAGGACGAACGAGTTGGGAGCCAACGGAACGAACCCTGCCCCAAGGCGATTCCAATGTGATGAGTGTGAGAAGGCCTTCCCGACCAAAGGAGAGCTTGCATCCCATTCTCGTTGCCATCTCAAGGTCCCTGCCTTCCTCTGTGGAATTTGTGGTCGTCCATTCAAGCGTCGTACAGATTATGTTCGTCATGTACGTAATGTACATGAGGAAGTTGGTCGTTATAGCTGTAACCAGTGTGGTGAGCGTTTCGGTCGTCTCGACAAGTTGAAGCGTCATGATAAGCGTGGTTGTGGTGCTGATCCTGAAGATGATGACAAGTAAAAGAGCAATTTTTTTTTTCTTTTTCTTTCTTTCTTTTTTTTTTTTAATAACTCCCTTGAAGGGAAGGATAAAAAAAAAAAAAGAATTATATAAACTTTATTATTATTTATTACCTTGCCTATTTTTTTTTTTAAGAACCTTAGAGGGTAGGGACCTTAATATTCTCTCTTTTATTATTACTATTATTATTTACTACTACTACTACTACTATTATTATTATTATTAAAACAAAAAAAAAAAAAAAAAAAAAAAAAATTAATAGAAGTAATAGAAGTAAAGAATTAAAAAAAAAGGGAAAAAGAAAAAAGATATAAGAGAGAGAGAGAGAGAGAAAGAAAAAAAAAAAAGGACGAAAAAAAACGCTCCTGGGTTCGCTGGTCGTCTTGGAGTAACGTTTTCTTCTTTTTTCTTTTTTGTCTTTCCTCCCCCTTCTTTCCTTCTAAAAACATCTTTTTTTTTTTTTTTTTTTTTTTTTCACTTGTTTTCTACAATCGATTTTTTATTCCATCAACCTAATTTTTACTCATCTTTAAATAATACAAAATAAAATAAAATAAAAAATTAAAAATTAAAAAATTAAAAAAAAGACGTTTTTTCTACTTACTGGACAACTCTTTTTTATTCTTTGTTATCTTGTGAGGGGGTGGGGGGAGGAACTCTTTTCTGGATAAATAAATAGATACTTTATTTTTTATTTTTTTTTTTTTTTTACGTTATTATTATATTTTATCTGAGAAAGTTTTTTTTTTCCTCCCCTTCTTCTAATTTAAGGAAACTCAAAAAAAAAAAAAAAAAAAAAAAAAAACATCTATCTTGGTTGATAACTTAGAACTCTGCTTGCTTTTCCTCCTGTGTCTGTGTATACTCTTGAGCATTGGCATTGGCATTTGCTTCCATGCCTGGCTCTGAGGATGATACTGCTTCTACTACGGATAGTGGCTGCCGCTGCTCTACAGCCGGATCAGGTGTCGATGTCAACGTAGCCATCGATGACGGTGATGGCTGCGATAGTTCCTGTACCTGTGCCTGTGACCCCTCTGGTGTCTCTGAAGGTGTTGTAATGGTCATGGTAGGCATGGCGGTCGTATCCTTGATTGAACTGCTGTTAGGCTCTACTAACTCTGTCACTGTCACTATCGAGGCAGTGTTATCAGACCCTGGTGCATTGTCAATCTGTCTTTGCTGCTGCTGCTGTTGCTGTTGCTGTTGCTGTTGCTGTTGCTGTGAATCCTCAAGTGCAGGGAGGTTCGAATGCTCCACAGAATGTTGGTAAATTGACTCCTGAGGGAACTGCTCTTGATGTCCATCTGCATACTCTACTGTGGTATCTCCATTCTCTATCCTATCCGTCACAGTCGTTCCGGATTCATCTGTTGTAGAGAATGTTTTGTATCCAGATGTTGATGTTGTTATATGATCACCTTCCTGTACACTACTCGTAAAGGATTCCTGTATAAAAGTTTCAGAAATCATCGGCATTTCTCCTTGCACAATTGAAGCCATTGAAAACTCCATTGATTGCTGTTGTTGTTGCTCATGCTGATGGTGCTGCTGTTGCTGCTGTTGCTGATGCTGTTGTTGCTGAAGATACTGTTGTTGCTCATGACGTTGCTCATGATGATGTTGTTGCTGGTGCTGATGCTGGTGCTGATGCTGGTGCTGATGCTGGTGCTGCTGCTCTGGCTCTACTATCGATACTGCTCCCGTAGTCTCGTGTTGCATCGCCAGAGCTTCAGAAGTCGGAGGGACAGATGCTCTCTCTTCCGGATTAGCTGATTCATTTCTTACAGAGGTCTCCTCATCTGGCCTGTTGGTAGTTGTCGTAGAAAAGTGTTGTGGAGTTGATCCAAAGACATCAGTCGAGGTCGACACAGGTTGCTGGGTTGACTTTGCCTCATTTTGAGCAATGCCCGACATAAAAGGATGTTGATGCAGTGTGTGAAAAGAGTCTACCGATAAGGGAGCGTTCTGTTCAACTGCTGGTTCGGATGATTGATGTCTTGTCTCTGTTAAGGTTGGTGCTGTTGTTGCTGTTGTTGCTGCCGTTGTTACCGGTACCGATGCTGATGCTGGCACTGATGTCGGTGCTGATGCTGGTGCTGATGCTGGTTCTGATGCTGGTGCGACATACTGATTACCTGAAAAGGTGCTGGCTTCAACACCCTCTTTATGGCTCATTTCTGCGTCTTCACTGTGTACCAAGGTAGGAAACGCCTGCTGTGGAGGATCAATGCCAGATGTGGATGCATCAACCTCCATCGCATTCGAAGTCTGACCGGCTCCATTCAAAGACATCTGTGGATTCGACCCTGTTGAGGCAGTACCAAATGTCTGGGGGATTCCCATAGAAAATGGTGCAGATCCAGATCCAGATGCAGGTGCAGAGGCTCCAGACATTTGGTCATTTGCAGCAAGACTTGTTCCCTTATCGTCTACCGCCATTGCAGTGTCACCTTCCTGAGGCTGCTTCTGAGCACGGGTAGGCTTCAACTCGGGTGTACGATTTGCTTCATCCTTTGGTAGCTCAATCGTACGAAGATTCGTATGAGGCAGAACGCTCATACCCTTGTGTGCCTCAACACGTGCATTAGCGGCTTGTACCTCCTGTTTGGCAACCAAGTGATAATTTTTTTTTTTTATAAAAAAAAAAAAAATGCCAAAAGTTAAATATAAGGTTAT